AATTCCCACCGATTACTGAAGAACATGTAGATTCTGATCTTCACACATCTTTTCAAAAGAAGTACGAGAGTTTCCTCAGAGGAACAGAACAGAAACGATCACACAGGTAGAAATACACTGTCAATCACTAACATTCTGCATTAAACAACTGTAAATGCTATTACAATAATGTAATGATTTTAATGTCTGTTTGAACCTGAAAGAACCACTATATTGAAGAGGCTCCAATGGTAGTTTTCAATAAATATCATATAATAAGTACTGAAGTTTTTTGTTTCCAACTTATGCTGTGGACTGTCACTCAAGAAAACATGTAAGAATTACATCAAATTTGTCAACCTTTATTAAATCGTAATCAAGCAGCATAACAGTATTAAATGTACTAAACTTTCATTAAAATATGATTCACAATGAACAAATCAAGTGTCCAGGAAAGAAGAAGAAGAACAACCAACAACAACTTGGATTTATATAGCGCCCTCCACGCCGGACGAGATCTGAGAGCGATTCACAATAATGGATCCCGGGGATCATTTATCATGGACAATTTAAAAGATTGAGAGTTGTAAGCATATTTTATTTTGGCCCCATGATGCAAACGCTGCTGAACGCACTTCTTCAGCTAGAGGATGTTGGATTAGAAACTAATTATAAAGGATTGATGCTGGGGGAGAGGTAACATGTAGAGACTGGTTTATGACTGACATGTCCCATCATTCGGCAGAGCCCAATCCCAGGAGTGCAAACACATGTAAAACAGTTGCTAAGGAGGTTTTGAGGCACGAGGCAACAATCTTTTGAACAAGTGCAACTGGTAAACCAGTATGAGCTGTGAAGGATTTAATATAGAATGAAGGTCATTACCAGGCAAAATAAAAAAAAATCAATTAAAGGCAGATTTAAAAACTGTCCTCTCAATAAAAATAAATGGAAAATATGTACTCCAAACTATATAATGCATTTCTTTTAAATCCTAAACTGGTACTTGGTAAAAAGACTGCTGGAAATATTTGAAAATATTTCTAAAAGTATTGCAGGATATAATCAAAAGCTACATGAGCTTTCCTAAAATATTCGGGGCAATACATACTTCATTTTTCAATCTGTGAAGATTTAAAATTGCCATACTATTTTTGTATAAAAGTACAGTAGCACTGAAAGCTGCAGTCATATTCGGTTTAAACCCCTTATTTGACTGACTGACTTGTCACTGGTTAGTGTAATTCTCAAGTACTGAAGATTACCGCTCTAACTACATTTATCCTAACCTGGCCAAAACTGCTATGGAAAGCCATTTGATTTCAATATCATTTACATTTTTATGCGGAGTGAAAAATAATTAGATGAAGTACATGACTCAGATTTATGGCTTAACTGTGACTTTCCTATCTAACTCTATTCCCCAAAAATACAGCTCCTGTTAAGGAGTGGTATGTTTTGCACATAATCTTATGGGTTTAACAATCCTAATTTAGAATATGTGTAACTCAGAGCACTCCCCTTCTCAAAATGAAAGGCAAGCAGCCAAGACAAGCATTATTGTCCAGTTAAAGCACCCTGTACTGACCTAGGGTACTTCCTGAAAAGCTTTCATTTTACTAATAAATTCTGTCTTCTCAAAGGTTATGCAGGAAGTTAAATATGTGTGTGTGAGAAAAGATAGTTTCATTCCCATTTAGGCATATGTGTCTATGTGTGTGTGTGTGTGGGGAGAGGGAGGGCAGTATTATTATGAGGGAAGAGGTAAAGTGTTACTTTCGGGAGGAAAATAAAACAAAATTATTTGGAAAATACTTTTAATACAGTCAACATGTATATTTAAATAAATCTTGATTTGTTTTTTCAAAGACATGGAGGGACAATTATTTCAAGTAAATAATTCTCAAACTCTCTTTCATAGGAGGGAGCAAATCTTTCACATTCTTCCACGCTATTCAGGGCATTTATTAAATCTCTTCCCTTTATTTTATTTCCTGGAGAGAATCTTACTGAGCTTCATCTGGTTCATGTACACTTCAGCTACTGTACAGAATGTTACACAGGCCTAAAAGGTTATAAACTGTGGAAAAGAGAAGAATGCACTGCAACCCAAATATAGCTCAGCAAAGTCAAGGAGGTCATTTAATCTTAAGGTTTACACTGTACCAGGCATCAGTATGTTTTTAATAAAGATACATTAAGATTAAGGCTGTCATGAAGCTGATAGTTTTAGCTTTAAACCTTGATCTATGCGAAAAGTGAAGCTTGGGCCACTATTACAAGCCAAAATTACGATCAACTGCAAATGAAAAATTGCAGAGGAAGAGAAACTTAGCTAAGGGGAGGCAGGATCAACAACAGGGAAGTGGCAGCAAGCCAGAATGGGAGTTTCAAAAAGATAAAGTTTTAAGCATCAAATGAATAAAACTTTGTGGTATTGACACTGGATACAGCTCTACTTCAGATGCAATGTTGAGAGATTTAGGACTGATTACAGCTATATTGCTCCAGCACCAAAAGACTAATTCAGAGACAACCTTTGGTGAAGATTTGTGGAAAAACAGCAACAACAACATAATAATAATAAACATGGGAGCAAATTAGACCCAAATGGATTTTAAAAAGAAACTTTGAACTAATTTATAAAAAAGCCAAAGGAATTGTTCACTTCCGTTGTACTAAACAGATAAATGCAACTTATTCAGTACATATAGCTAACAATCGTACAAGATCTTTCAGAATCTATTACATGGCTACGAACTGCATTGAATTAATTTTGAAAATTGCATAACTTGTGTGACTCTGAATAGAGCAAATTGTTTCCAGACCAGTTCATTTCCCCCCCACTCCCTTCAAGTTAAGTTGCCTGTAACCAAAATCTTTTTCATACCGCCACCTGCTGTTCTCAGTTAACTACATTCATGCACTTTCAGAAAATACTTCCCCCTAGTTGCTGCCATTCACTTCCTGCAATGATTATGCATTTCCTAGGTCAAAAAGACACTAACTCTCTTGTGTCCCCTCTACAGTGAAGTAACTACATATTATGCACCACTGAACACTTCCAGGAATACATTTTGGTGCATTTTTGATAAGAAGAAGCAGAATTAGGAAAATCCATAAATCCTTCAACTTTGAAAGCGATGTTCTCGAATTTGGAACTGAAAAAATGATGTATTCATTCATTCTTATATAATGTTCACCAAAATATTACGTTCAGACTACAGCAACTGAGATTCCCTGCTTCACTACCTGCGCCTTGAAATAAGCAGAGAGAAATTCCACTTGTGTGTAGATTTATAATAATCCTTGCATTTGATATAGTCCCTTATCACTTCATCAAGAAGTCTCAAAGCATTTCACAGGATTTACTGTAAAATTCAGTGATTCTGTATTTATAGGCAAGCCCAGCAGTCAATGACCAATTTTATTTGTGGTGTTATTAGCCAGGATGCCAGGAGAAACTGCAGTGCAGTGTCAGGTTAGATGTCAGTATGTGAGTTCTAAGTCTTGACTTGGAGTTTGAACCCAATTAGTTTTAATTTTGAAGCTGGCTTTCTACAAGTCCTTTTAAGAGCCTCAGAAAGCTGTCTTCAAAATTAAGACTGAAACAAATAATCTGTCAGTCTGGATGCTTGGAATTGATAAGAAAATAAAGTAAATCTAGCCTCAGGTTGAATTTCTCCACAAAGAAGCACAGCTAACTTTGCTTTCCAATGCCATTCTGACCCCACTTATTTGACTGATAGTGTTGTTATTTCATTTTTGTTCACTCTTCTTATGCTTCTACTTAGCAGGAGTCTTACACCTATCGAAGAAGATGAGGAAGAAGTACAACCCCAAAAAATATTAATATTAAATAATTTATTACAGAGCTCATTTACATTTCTAGCTCAGGAATCCACTGGGATTGTAAATATTTAAACATAAAGATACAGCATAAATGCAAATAGGAACAGCCTTTCTGAAATTTCAAAACTACTGGTAGTGAAAGTATCCATTACAGGGACTCATAATTAAAAAACACACCACGACTCAAAATAAACTATTGGTAACCTCAGCCCTGAAGTCATTCCTTGCAGTTTGATTGTTTCCACCATCTTCTGTTACCAGCATTATCATCTGGTATGTAGAAGTCACTAGTTGACCACCCCATAGAGCAAACTTCATCTGGACAAACTCTGGATTATTTGGGTTACAATGCTGTTGCATTCCACGTTTTGGCTGGATCTCAAATGCCACTTTACAGCAAGTGACCGATGGACTACTTTCACAAACCTTTCAAAACAGTTGAAAGTTGCACTATGTATATCTAGAAATACACAAATACTTTAGTAACTTTGGGTCCATTGCTAATGGGAATAGGGTGAAATGACTATTTTGTATTTTTCTTTGTGATGGAAGTGAATTTGTATGCAACATGTATCCTTGGTTTCACCCTACATTGCTTAGGTTTATTGCTTTGTTGCTAGAGAACAGTCTTGCTCTGTGATGGGGATAAATCCGGTCAAATCATCCAGAGTTAGAACCCTTTTAATATATTTGTAATAGTACATCAATTGTTACGTGTTTGGACTGAGCACCTCCTAGGCATTCAGACAATCTTTCTGATAGAAAAGTATGCACTTTGCAATGAAAGTGTGAAAAATAATTAAATCATGTTAATATTAATTTGAGAATGTGGCCTTGCTCCATTAAGAGATTACAGCTATCAGAATTTGCATAGTGACACAGGACAGAAATAAGGCATTCACCACAACTGGCCCAAGCCAACCGAGTCTCGCTCCCACAGGTTATCTCTGCAGCTCTCTAGGAAAATGTTTTGGAATATGCTTTGTAATCAAGTTCACTATTTAGTTGCTGTAGATCACACTGACAATCGGGTATTCTTTGTTAAAAGCAATGGAACATAATGGAGAAAGAGAAAATTCGGAGAAACAGGTAATTAGGAACCCCAAATATGTGCAATGTTGCAAATTTTAGTTCCAATCAACTGAAACTAACAATAAGGATTTACTTACAATTTTCAATATGTCCTTGAAGCTGAAGAATTTGTGGAACAGGCATAGTGAGGACAACTGCATCAAACATTTCTGAAAGGCCCAATTTGCTGCAGACTTCCAGCTTCCCTTCTTTGAGGTTGATGTGGGTGACATGAATGTTGTACAACACGTCTGCTCCTGTTTGGATTTTGAAAACAATCAGACAATTTACAGACAATGAAGAGAAAGAGAGGTTAGGAAAATGTTGGGCTGGCGAAAATAATAATAATAATCTTTGCATTTGATATAGCGCCTTATCGTGTTGTTCAGACGTTTCAAAGCACTTCACAGAATATATTGTAAAGTGGATTGACTGTGTATTTTGTGGGCATAAACATGACAACCGATTGCACACAGCAATGTCCCACAAACTGTCATGGATTAAGTGAACACATTATTTTTTTGAAAAGTGATATGGTTGGAAAAAACATGGTCTCTTTCATACTTAAAGTATAATTTTGCTCTTTCAAAATATAAACACAAAATTGGCTATGGGTTTTTTTNACTTTTGAGCAGAATTGTATAATTGTTACTTTTAGCCAGAACTGGCTGAACATATTAAACACATTAACTAGTATCAGCTCACTCTTTTAATGTGGTCTAAGTGTACAAGATTTGTGAAGATTTGCTCAGACCTGACTTGCATTCTACTTGCAGAATAAAATAAATATTTTTTATTATTTTATACACTAGTTCATGTAAGCAACAGGATGTTCCGATTGCTAAGATGTCACAGCATTTATATATATACTTAGCTGGGAGCTCATTTGTTTAGTGCACCATGGGGGCCAAATATTATATTTAGCCTGTTTCGTAGATGATTGATATGTATGTACAAGGAATATTGGAGGGCAGAAGAGTGGAAACAGAATTATTCAAGGCAAAGATGTAAGCACTAAAATCTTGACCAAGAAGTACAGCAAGTATTTTATTTAGATTCACTAGTTCATGTGTATACAAATTCAGTGTATTTTATAATTTTCAATATCAATAGCAATTGGGAGGGGGAAATTAATGCTTGAGAAATAGAAACTGTCGCCAGTATGTTTGTATGCAGCCTCGGATAGGGATGCTACTGGCAGTTAGGAGACTGATTACAAATCATCAGTCAATGAAGGATATGATAAAGCCAAAGAAGAAATATGATCAGTTCGGACTTAGATTAGCTTATCTTTTCCTGCCCTAAAACATTTTTGATGGAATGATCTATTAAGCTTTTATAAAAATACAGAACTATTTCAATTTTTACATAAATTTTTATCCCAGTTAAGAACCCTCTGTTGGCAACACTGGATTTAAAAAGGCACAATTTGTAACGTGAGATATTAATGAATCGTGGGCTTTAAACTGCTTTGTAACATCAGACCCTGCAGTCCATTAGAAGCTTTAAATTTGAAGGTAACAAGGTACTTAAAATCAAAAGGGTAAGAATCAGAATAAATCCTCCTGTTTTCAAATCCTCCTCTTCCAGCCTAAAAATTGTTGCAATTTAATAAATCCCTTAGGATACAGGAAACCATTTCCAGAAGAAAGGCAGGAGAAATGACCTCACAAGCTTATTGGGAAGAATCCTCCCGTGGTTGTCATTGATATCATGGTGACAATCTGGTTGAGGAGAGTGGAACGAGAGTGAACAATTTTAGTTTAACGTCTGCAAATCATTGACATGGAGATGTGTACACTTTCCATCTCACGTACAAACACAAGGTGGAACCAGAGGTAGACATTTAATCCATCTCGCTCTCGTGTTTTTGTTTGGGTTCTTGTACATAACATACTCAGCAATTTTAAGGTCCACACCGTACTGGCCCCACAAATCTTTAGATAGAATCTAGTTTACATTAAACCAGGATCATCCTCATTGTCCTTCTTTGAAGCATTTTCACACTTATAGTGATAAAATCCAGACACAATACTCAATGTGTAACTTGAGTAATACTTGATTGGGGGTTCAGAGCAATTTGCTTTCAGATTGTGCTGCTCAACACAATTTATTGGGTTTCACCCACAGAATACACAGTCAATCCACTTTACAATACATTCTGTGAAGCGCTTTGAGACGTCTCGGCGATGTGATAAGGCCCTATATCAAATGCAAGTATTATTATAATTTCCCCCCACCCCCCCCACAGAGGTTCACCATAAAGAGTACAGTATAAAGTGGGCATTAGATTCTAAGGGCACACCCAGCGGAGTATAAATAAACAGGCATGATCTCACAAAAGGGTATGCAAAATAAATTGGTAGATGGTCAGGATGAAACAGGCTGATAACTACCTGATTCAGTGAGATAATACTTGACGATAGAAGAGGCCCCTCGTGGTGTCATATAGTTGGAGATTCCTTTTTCTTCTCGTATCATACCTTCCACGGGGCTGAGTAATGGTTTCAAAATGCTATGTGACAACAATTCTTCATAAAAACTGAAAATCAAAGAACAAAAGTCAAATATATTTAATCTGTCTGTACATTTACTCTCCCCTCTTTTAGTTTATTCCCTTGATCTCTTTTCCAACCTTGGTAATCCGCTTTCTCATTGCAAACTGCTTTCCCGACCCAACTGTCCAGCGCCTTGGGACGTCCTCCCAATGTGAAAGGTGCTCTATAAATGCAATCTTGTTGTTGTTTGCAATGTTGCCCTATTTAAGTGCAAATTGTTGTTCATTTTAGTTAAATCTCGCTTAATGGATACTATTCACAAGGTTATTAGAGGTACAGTAATCGGTCACAAAGAGCTGAAAAGCACCACTGGCTGTAATTTTCCAAAGGCTCTGTTTGAGGAGGGCTGACATATTTGACTTGCATTTAATACTGTAACAAGAATGACAGCTGATCACATACATATAATCGCAAGTGCACGGTGAATGGAACTGATGAATATTAAGCTGTTTTCTGATACTTTTATGGAATAGTGTGGATGACCTTCAGTTAAACACCATGAATCCAACCAAGAACCTGTATTTACCACAAGTGGCAATGATTATTTTCAGATTTGATTATTGTCAGAACCCTAGTGTACAATATTAAGTTTGGATTTCCTTCAGTTTATGGAGTTATTCTCTCAGATTAGCTTGGAGAAAGGAAAATACGAGTTGCTCTAAATAGTAAAATTACCCGAGGTTAAATCTCACTTAATGGATACCATTCACAGGGAAAAATATTGCTTTACAACGCTGAGGCAAATGATCGCTGTGAGTCAGGCCTTTAGTCAGGTTACATGGCGCAACACTTATCAACCTCACAAGTGAACATGAGACATATAAAAAAAAGTGAATCTGCTGTTTCCTGTTCCTTAATCCTGACACTGACATCGACACAATGTTTGCTGCTGGCCCATCTCAGTTTAAAGTCAGCTCATGGTTCAATTTAACTGAATAATTTAATAATGTGGTTCTATACACAGGACTGCTTGCATCTCTGCTTTCATATTCTTGATATCTGAGGACATCAAATGCCCAGGAGAACACTAAGAGCTCAAAGCGAACATTCACGCTCCTGCACTGAAGGGTTGTCTCAGCTACATCATACTCAGTGGCAGCCATCTTCATACAACCTCCTTTGTGGCACCTTTCCTGACAAAGGTGAGTGTTTCTCAATATACCTGCCTTCAACGAATTGGTCTTTCATAGCATTAGTTTCTATTTAAGTATTATAGTTAATGTATTAGTAACAAAATTTGGAGTAAGAATGGAGCGAAACTGATGTTGGGTCCAAAACACTGATTGTCCAGCGCCTTGGGACATCCTCCCGATGTGAAATGCGCAATACAAATGTAATTTTGTTGTTGTTTGTAACTGTAGGATTGCACAATAAATAGACTTGCACAAAGGAGGGTTATTGAAGCACATACACCACATGGTTGATGAAGGTACTTGATGCATTTCTGAAGAAAGAAGGAATTAAGGGATAGGTTTAGAAGGGAACTGACACAAATGGCTTGCAGGGCCTAATAACTTTTCTTATTGCTAAAGATTCTCTTGTTCTTAGTTGTCTGAATCCTGCTCACTGATTGTCAGGCTAATTTATTCACAAAATCACAAGAGAGGTTCAGATGAAGAAGATCCTTTGGTCTATTTAATCTTATCTTCACAGAATACACTGTTCCTGATCCTCTCTAGTGTTTTTTTTCCTGAAACTGCTCTTTGCAAATCTAAACCTGTGTCCTCTTCTTCTGATCCAGAGATGAGAGTAATACTATTTGGACCACACTGTCAGTTAAACATGTTGAAAGATTAGTTTGACTGTTCATATTTAATGCAAGTGTGTGTAAAAAAAGTAATAAACACAAATTGAATAAACTACATTAAACTCTACTTCCTGACAGTACCTTTGGTGCTTTTTCGCATAATATGGTGTTGCAGTTATATACTGTGCTCCCAGATCAGCTGTACAGTTTGGATCAATAGGACTTCTGCTTGTGTTCATTCTTCCTCCTTAAGGCAAAAAATATTTAACGTTATCAATGAATATAATGAGCATAATGTTGTATGTTACTATCGTCTTGGTAATGCTAAGCCTTTAGTATTATGTCATCCCGGCTGATCCACAGGGCAAAAAAAAGACATCTTATTTTGGAGCTGCGAACTTTCAGTTTTTTTTTGCATCTTTGGTAAAAGAGCAAAAATATCGACGATCAGATGGACCACAGGCAAATAATGTAACACAATGTAAAAACATTTGCAGTGGGGAAAAAAAAAGGTGGCAGATTACATGGCTGTCATTTACAGTATTTGCTCGCAGTAATAGAAACCCCCTCCCTCTCCCCCCAACCAGAAATTATTTTTTGGGGAGGAGAGAGTTTTTTTTTGTGTGGTTTTTGAGGTGGGGGTGGAGGGGGTTTTATTTAAAAAAAAAGTTTTGCAAAGCTTTTTTTTTAGCTCAACCCTCACAGTGGGTGAGTGGGTGGGTGGGAACGACAGATTTCTGCAGCTGATTCTGTGGCCGGTGTTTACATTGCAGATGAGAGAGGGACCCAACGGGAGGAACCGCGCAGTGGGGAATAAAAACCTCCAGCGATACCCACAGCCCCGACAAACCCCTGCGCTCCAACACACTCACACGGGACACACACACACACAGACACACACACACGGGACACACACACACACACCCCCACCTGCACCCGCGGCTTTGTCCCAGACCACCAATTTGACTCCGTCTCTCATTTCTCTGCTCAAAAGCCGAGCGCACAGACCGCCCGTCAGACCCGACCCCACGACCAGCACTCGGGGCATCGCCCCGCGGCTTCTCCGGCGGAGCGCCACCCGCTCTCCCCAGTGATGCGCCTTCTTCCAGCGCTGCTCTCTCCCCCCCCTGTTGTGTGTGTGTGTGTGTGTGGGTGGGGGGGGAGTCCTGGAGCGCTCAGTGGTTTAGAGCACTCGCTTTGCCAAGTGGAGAGACCCCGAGTTCAATTCCGGGCAGGTCAGGGCCAAAACCTTGGGCAAGTTTCCTTACTCCGCACGCAGCCTAAATAATAATCCCTCCAAACCCCCCCCCCCCCCCCACAAAAAAAACCCAATAATAAATTGGTCGTGTTCCGCCCACGAGTGTACGGTCAGTTCACTTTACAGTGTGTTCTGTCAAGCGCTTTGGGACGTGAAAAGCGCTATATCAAATGCAAGGATTATTATTATTATTATTATTATCCCCCCCCCCCCACCCCTCTGCAAACTATTTATTGCCACTGTCCGAGCGAACCTTTCCCCAGAAATTAATTGCTCGCAGATCACACCACCCGACCCGCACGCCCACTTCTGCAGCAGCACAACAACAACAACCACCACCACGCAGCCTGTCCATCCACTGTGTGTGACTGGGCTCCTCGTGGGAAGTCACAGGCTCAGCGCAGTGAGTTGTGTGTGTCTTCCACATGCTGCTGCACCGTGTCCAGACTTCGAGCTCGCAGTCTAGACCAGACTGACACTTCAGTGAGGAGCTGGGGGAGCACAAGCACTGTCAGAGGCGCAGTCCTTCTGATCAGAGGTTAAGCAATCCACCCGCTGTTTGCGGGACGCTGCTGCGCGCGCAATTGGCCGCCGAGTTTCGCCCACCACAAAATATACAGCCACCGCGGTGTTCGCATTACAGTATATTCTGTGAAACGCTTTGTGACGTCTCGAAGACGTGATCAGGCGCTATATCAAATGCAAATGCAAGAGTTGTTGTTATTTATTAAAACGGCTTGTGGTAATTGCAAACTGGGATTTGTAATTTGCCTGTTCAGTCCAGTTTGCAAATATCGTAAATTAGAGCCAGGGTGCTTTTATTCCCTGCACAAAGGCAGGGCTTCATCATAGTGCATGTAAAATGGAAATTCGTCAAATAATTCACATCTCTGACTCATTCAGTGCATAATGCTACAAGTCGTGAACCTAGTTTTGATGCACTTTCTATAGAAAGGGTCAAGGAATGGGAATGACAGTTTTAATCTGCACATTTTTAAATGCTTTGGGAATAGTGGCTGCTGAGTGTAAGCTAAATGTCAGAACATTATCTCAGGATTAGCTCACTTGTGCATTTAATAAAAAAAAAGGTTTTGTATGAAGGCCCTACAAGTTATAAGAGCTTTGTTTAAAATAACATATATTTTGTTTGTCCAATATTGATATCACTGATGTGATCCTGTTTAATTAAAACGTGGGAGCCAGAAACTTTTGATGATATTGGCTCTTTAAAAGCCTTTAAGTCGTGGTCTTCTTTGCAGCTTTGACAGTTTTCTAAAGAGTATAAAATAAAAACAGAAAAGTGTGCCAATACTTGTCTCATATTATTATTTGTTTGAACTAAAAATTGTGATTTTGTTGTACAGTGTTTGTAAATTACACAAAAAGAGAAGCCATGGCTCGTAAACAGTTAATGGATGTAACCAATTGCCTTTGAGTATGTTATGACAAGCTGCTCATACAGCTCTGCTAATGTTGTCCAACCAAGCATTTACCCAGTAGTATATATATTTTAAAAGTAGCACAAAAATCTGCACTTATGCATTTTTGCTGTTTTGATTATCTATTGAATGCAATTTAATTACTAAGTTAGGTCGGAGTGCCAGACACACCGTGTGTTGCGACTGGAACTTCTCTCCTGGTTTGGCTTCTCCAGCCTTTAGGTGATGCTCCCACTCACCTATTTAGACTTACCACCAACCCTCCTCACCGTACTGTGAACACTGTTATATATTACTGTTTATCCATAAGCAACTATTTTCTTTTTAAATACAGCATAACAATTGTATATATATATACTGGGTCTTGCAATGGTTCTTTGTCAGTGTCTGATGATGGTACAAAGCCAAACAAACAACAACATCTTGCATTTATATTGGACCCTTCATGCAGGATAGTGTCTCAGAGCGCAGGTTCCCAAAAAGCAGTTGCTGTGACGTGGAACAGCTTCTAGAAAAATGTTAAAAAATTGTTTACCGGGTTCAGTAGAATCGTAAGCAAAATAGTCTTATAGATTAAAAAAAAACAGGCAGGAAAGACCGAATTTACAAATAATTTTGATCTACTGTCATTTTTCCTCTTTGTAAATCTTCACCCCTGTCTTTCGATGGCACACAGAAGGTCGGCTAATATTTCCACAGGACCATTAATCGCGTCTTATCAGATGGCAGCAGCTTGAATTTTTTGTGCTATTTTTCTCCAGCCCTCTGGGACACAGGGTGTGTCCCCATTGCATCTCAGGCCCAGACCTACTGAATTGGGCTAATGTAAATTAAACCTGCAATTCAAAGTCTGGGCAGTCTGAGAGTGCAGTAATCCATTGCTAGACCTTCTATGATCAGAGAATAAAGGTTTTAGCATTCAAAAACTCTCCCTTAATCCCTCCACTTTGCCCCTTCCCCTTTTTCAAGTCCCGCCTGAAAACCTTCCTCTTCGACCGTGCTTACGGCCACCTCTCCTTCCCCCACCCCACCCCCAACTCAGAGTCAGGCTCTACCACTGTTAAGCACTCTGAGACAGTACACTGCGTAGAGGGGCTATATAAGTGCAAGTTGTGGTTGTAAACAACAATAAAATGTATATCGAGCACAAAATTGGTGACTGGTTGCTTTGGAAAGGAAGCAACATGCAGCCAATCAGTAGAGTTACCAGTTCTGAAACTTGCATCTCCTGCAGTTTATTTTGATGGAAACTTTTAAAATAAAGTTTTACGTTTGACTTGTACTGTTACTATAGTGTTAACATAAAGCACTTAAATATTTTTTNAAATATTTATATTATGATATCAGAGATATTGCTAATCTGAAAAGGTAATAAAATCATATCTATTTACATCAGATTCTTAACTTGTTTTTGATTCAGGCTTTGAAGCTTTGACACAAGGCAACAGCTTTTATGCTAATTCTCCTACTTCAAAGTTGCAACTGGAAGCTTTGATATTTGGGTCCAAGAAATGTCCAAAGCTTTGAAGCAGGCGGAATTGGATTTAATACAACTGCCCTAATTTTAAATGTAACCATATAGTTAGCGGAGAGGTAAGAAGGCTGTTAAGCTGATATGAGGTAAGATTTCTGCTTGGCTGAGTGGATAAAGGCAGTGCCTGGCACAATGTCACACAGAAAATTAAATCCCAGGCTTTACTGAGTTAACTGATCTCGACCAGGGTTAGCAGTTGAGGGAAGTATAATATAGGCCTCAACCACCTAGGTTAGGGATCAGTAAATCACCTAGGATTCCCATTTATGTTTATTATCCAGAGACTCCTGCTGGAAGATGCATATGTTTGTATGGATGTTGGGTTTGAACAGGATTAGTGCAGCTGTGATGCCTCCTGCAGTTGAAAAATCTGCTCTAATTGATGTCAAGAGCAATGGTTATTTGGCCTTTGTACTGGAGCCCGTGGAACTGTATTGCAATGGAAGCAAAAACGTTACTATTGGTCTTGAGTTGCCAATCCAATTGTATGTAAAAAAACGTAACACGGTAGAATCTGTATCACCAGGACTGGCCTCCTCCTTGTCCCCCGAGTCCTCCACTCCACCATCGGTGGCCGTGCCTTCAGCCACTGCCGCCCGAGTCACTGGAACTCCCTTCCTCACTCCCTTCGCCTCGCTCCCTCTCTTCCCACTTTCAGGTCTTGACCACGCCTTTGATCACCTTCCTCCCCATCCCCCTGGCTCGGCCCCAGAATCCGTTACTGTGAAGCGCTCTGAGACGCCGTCCGGTGTGGAGAGCGCTATATAAATCCAAGTTGTTGCTGTTGTAATGTTTACCTTTTTCTTTCTGTATAACTTTCTCTTCAAAAATCAAATTCTAAGTATCTTCAAGCACACATTTCTACAGAGAACTCAGGAATCTTTAGTTAACTGCAGGCTCATGTCAAAACAACATTATGATACAAATTCCACTGTGCTACATGTTTTACATAAAAAAGGAAAATAAATTACTTAACTAAAATATTTTAATTTTGCAAAGTAAGGCATATGGAAATAGGTTGTGTTTTCCAATTCTGACTCCAAACCAGTGAGACTTGGCAGTCTTGCTGGACAAACAATAACATCATCAATAATGTACTGCTTTACATGGGCAGTTTTGCAGTCCTGTTATTGACTGCGCCTTCTGTTCTCAGAAAAAGTTATGTTGTTCCCATGACCCAGTAAATTCTCATGGGATCCAGCTTCCTCCTCTTTCTGTCTTCCCGACCAATATGGGAATCATGAGACAGAAATAAGTCTCTTTTTTTTCTCTAGGAACGTTAACCTTTAAGAACATGCCTGTGTCCGTTATTTCAGTCTGAAACACTTTCATTTGTCAGTAACTAGTATTGAAATGAAATTGCTTATGTGTGGCCTACTTCCTCATGGTCGATTTCTGATACTAATATTAGTGTGACCCAGTCACTCCTAATTTCATCCACACTATTTTTGGAGCACCCAACCCAATAGTATGACCGGCATAATTGCCAGTCTTTTCTGTCATTGTTTTCAGATACCACTCAGTAACACATTTATTTAATGGAATACTTCAGGAGATGGTTTCAAACTCTCATATTGCCAGGAAAAAATAACCTAATGAATCATTTTACAAAACAAATGATTTTAAACATTTTAGACAAGTAACAGTGACATGGAAATATAATGTTTTCACATAACACTGACTAAAGCACTTCACAGGATTTACTGTAAAATATAATGACAGTATTTTGTATCCAAACACGGCAGTCAGTTAGAGAACAGCAATGGCCCGCAAGCAACATGAAGTGAATCACCAATTTTATCTGGAGAATTGTTGGCCAGGACACTAGGAGAAATTTCCTTTTTTGAGTAGGGCCATGGGATCTTTAACAACCACCTGAAGACCCCTATTTAATATCCATTCGAAAAGACAGCACCCCCAAGTGGAACTGCAGTGTTTTTATGGTCAACATGGCCAATTAAGATCTCGGCCTCTTTAACTTGGGGGACATTAAGCAGGAATCTCACTTCTACCTTGCACAGAATTATTTTCTGGGTCCAACTCAACGGTATGACTTTAATTTTAACAGAGAAATTTCCACTTCCTGTGAAATCCCACTGGAGCTGTAACATATAATCTCCACTTCTATGCATTTGAAACAATTTAAAACCACTTTGTTGGATAAACCAAGTTTAATTATGTGTAATTCTTACGAAACTGTTATGTATGCTCTTTGTAGCCATGTGCAATAACTGATCGCTAAACAATATAAACTGCCTATACAGGTTTGGGGTCAGACTCCGTCATTGTCAAGCAGTCTGGGACGCTACCGCGTGAAGAGCGCTATATAAATGCAGGTTGTTGAATATACTGGAGATGAACCCATATGTAAATCCTGCCCAGCATAAGATGCACATGTCTCCTGGTAAAGCACTATTAATCAATAACAAAATTACATTTGTATAGTGCCTTTGACATCAGGAGGACGAACACCGTGAAGTGCTGTATATTGCACCATTTATCCTATAGTAGTTGGGTAAGATCTATGTGAGCATTGTACAACTTGCCCCCAAATCACTCAATTTTGGAATTGGATCAGCAATAAAATACACGTATAATTGCCTTATTTAATACCTGTACAGTATAAAATTGGTTCAGTATACATCATCCTGTTTTAGCTCTGTGTAGATTGTTTGCAACTGGAATTATCCACTTTAATCCTATCCCTTGTTTTTTCCCATATCCATAGAAAGGATATAGAGGCACTGGAGAAAGTGCAAAGGAGATACACAAGGATGATACCGGAAATGCAAGGTTATACCTATCAGGAAAGGCTGAACCTCTTTTTTTCTTGAAAAGAGAAGGGTGAGTGGTGACCTAATAGGTCTTTAAAATGCGAAAGGTTTTGATAGGGTAGCCATAGGGAAGACATTTCCACTTGTGAGGTAGACCAAAACCAGCAGCCATAAATATAAAATAATCACCAATAGATCAAATAGGGAAGTCAAAAGAAACTTCTTTACCCAGTGGTGGGAATATGGAATTTGAGGCAAATAACAGGCGCATTTAAGGGGAAGCTACATGAGGGAGAAATTAATAGAAAGTTACGCTGATAGGCTTAGTTGAGGAAGGGCAGGAGGAGCTCATGTGGAGCATAAACACCAGCATAAACCAGTTGGGTCAAATGGCCTGCTTCTTGCTGTATATTCTATGTTATTCTATGTAATATCCTTTTTTATGGTTGTTCGTCAAGTGTGTATCAAATTCTTCTTTAAACGATGCTGGAGACACAGACACCTGCCTCCGTTTAATTACTCTTGTTCAGGGTGTCCAAAAAGTCGTGATAACCACCCTGTTAACTAAAAACAAACATCATTTATTTAAGACTTATTAGACATTGCAATGGTATCACAACTTTTTGGTCACCCTGTACAAGATGCAAAGCATATGGTCATCCCTAGTGTGTGTTACGATTCACGCACGGTATGGTGTGAAAATGTCTGGGCAAGGTTAAGCAGTGTTAAGACATGTGCACACATTGTTTAGCATCACTGTATTTGCGATAAAGGGGTCCTGCATGAGCTGAAGGCAACCACACTGCAGACCTCACTCAGATGCACACACTAACACACAGCACCTCACACACAACACCTCATACACACACACACAGCACCTCATACACACACACACAGCACCTTCACACACACAGCACCTCACACACACAGCACCACACACACACACAGCACCTCTCACACACACACACACAGCACCACGCACACACACACACAGCACCTCACACACACACACACAGCACCACACACACACAGCACCTCTCACACACACACAGCACCTCACACACACAGCACCACGCACACACACACACAGCACCTCACACACACACAGCACCTCTCACACACACACAGCACCTCATACACACACACACAGCACCTCTCTCTCACACACACACAGCACCTCACACACACACACAGCACCTCACACACACACAGCACCTCACACACACACACACACACACAGCACCACACACACACAGCACCTCTCTCTCACACACACACAGCACCTCACACACACAGCACCACACACACAGCACCTCTCACACACACACACAGCACCTCACACACACACAGCACCTCTCTCACACACACACAGCACCACACACACAGCACCTCTCACACACACACAGCACCTCTCACACACACACAGCACCACGCACACACACAGCACCTCTCACACACACACACAGCACCTCTCACACACACACACACACAGCACCTCTCACACACACACACACACACAGCACCTCACACACACACACAGCACCTCTCACACACACACAGCACCTCTCACACACACACACACAGCACCTCACACACACACACACACAGCACCTCTCACACACACACAGCACCACACACACAGCACCTCTCACACACACACACAGCACCTCTCACACACACAGACACACACACACACACAGCACAGTGTCACTCTCACACTCACACACAGCATCACTCACACACACACACACACACAGCACAGTCTCTCTCACACACACACACAGCACCTCTCACACACACACAGCACCTCACACACACACACACACAGCACCTCTCACACACACACACACAGCACCTCTCACACACACACAGCACCTCTCACACACACACACACACACAGCACCTCACACACACACACAGCAACCCTCTCACACACACACAGCACCTCTCACACACACACACAGCACCTCTCACACACACACACACAGCACCTCTCACACACACACACACACACAGCACCTCTCTCTCACACACACACACACACACACACAGCACCACACACACACACACACACATCCGCCGGGTGGTGTTCAAACGAAAGAGGAAGTAGGCGGCGTGTGGGGACGCGGTGCTCGGGCTCGCGATTTTGATACAGTAACGATTTGCTCAGTGTAACCGGTTGCGCTTTGTCGCAGCTCTGGGATCAGCTCCTGTTGACCGGTGGGTACCATTGCAACACTGTCAGGGGCGGTGGCAACTTTTTTTTGAGGACAGGATCCTCCTCGAAAGCCGGACCACTCCTTCTAAAATCCTCTACCTGTTTTTAGTCCTAAGTGTGCGTCTGTGTGTGGGGTGTTTTTTTTTTTTGGGGGGGGGGGTGGGGGGTGTGAAACGTTTCATGAAACGCGTGCGGAAGGTGAGTCACTTTCATGGGGTAATTTTGGAAACCAAATTGTAAAGTTTGCTGAACCTTGAAACCTGGTCACAGGGTGAGCTCAGATTTCCTGGAAACACCTCTGAACAAGAAATGCAACATTGTGAGTGATAATACTCATAATCATAATAATCTTTGCATTCGACGTCGCGCTTTTCACGTCTTCTGGACGTCTCAAAGCGCTTCGCGGAATATGCTGTAAAGTGAATTGACCGCATATTTCTGGGCGAAACCTGCCGACTGACTTGGTTTTCGTGGAATAAACGTGCGCTAAAAGTTAAGGCCGCCGGTGCGCAGAGAACTTCATTGCACTGTAAGCCTTGATCGTCATAGCTTTATAGCTTTATACCGTAACTTTAGTACAGTTTTAAAAAAAACTATGTTAAAACTTCATATGCTGTTTACAAACGTCATCCTCGCTGAATGCATTCAGTCGTAGGATATTCTTATTTCAATTTTGCCTTTTCAACAAGTGTCTGATGTTTGGAAGAAGTGAAGATTCGATCTTGTTTTGTGTGTTTTTTGTGCAGGTCGAAAATGATGCACTGGTTGTTTCTTGCCCTTCTATTTTTTATGCAAGGTGGGAGCAATTGTAAAGAATTTGAAAAATATGACACATCACCACCACCTGTGGATCCAGAAGCCTATATGAACATTGTAAGTACGACATTTAAAGGTGGACCAAATAATTGATTAAAAAATAAACATTATTCCAAATGAAGTTGCCAGTAGCTCCATAATGGGCAAATGTACCATTCAATCAAATCATTACAGACCAGAAGGTCACAGAATCAACTTCTGAGCATTGCTAAGTTAATGATCTCAACAGGGGAAGTATTTGAGACATTACTACTGTATTGGCGTCAGTAAATGGGGTTTTGATGGACTGGAAAGGGAAGCAGCCAGGGTATCTGCTTCTGATCATTATTCAGTGCTGGAAAGTGTGGACATGTAAAAATAAGGTAGAAAATGAATAAAATATTCAAATACCTTGCTGATGAATGATGCACGGCCTAGGTACGACAGGGCTCTTAGTATCTGTCATTCAGTACTCCTGCAATAGAATAGGTTGGTTTGTGTTACAGAATTTTTTTGCTGCTACCTTCATTCTGGGCTCTTTCATTTGTGCATCCTAAAACATTGGATAATTCTGACATTCTTTTCAATATGTTGTGAAAAACAGTTTTAAGAAAACAGTTTTACTACATCTTTGAAGAACTCTTGCAATAAGCTCAAAAATATTTGAACTTCTCATCTAAGCGCTATCAAAAGGAAGGTCCTTAAGCACGATTTGAAGGTGGGGAGGCAAGGAGCAAGGCAGAGGGATTGAGGGAGAGAGTTCCTGAATTTCGGGAGACAGAGAGTGCCTGAAGAGAGGCGCTGGTCGATTGTGTAGGCCAGTAGTAGGCAGAGGAGGGGGAGTTGAGTGACCAGAAGCTGGGTGGAGGTGGGTCGAGACAGCAGGTGGTAGGCTTCATCTGGGTGATGATGGGGAAAAGAGAGGAGAGAGAGTTGGGGGCAAAAGAGTGTAGGGTTACAGCACCATTATTTGTTTGATTTGTGTTCCACAATCCAGAACAATGTAATGGGCTCCTTAAGTAAGATTCCTAACTCAGTGGCAATTTGTGTAGAATTGTGTATCTAATCAATGTAAATATTTCATTGTGATTGTTTATTTCTGTGGGCAGGTCATCTCATTTATTTGCAATTTGCTTGAAAACAATGTTGATACTAATTACATTGTTTCATTACCTCTCTTCAAACAGAGTCAGCTCATTTCCTGTCATGGCTATCCAAGTGAGGAGTATGAGGTGTTGACTGCTGATGGATACATCCTCAGCATAAACAGAATTCCACATGGACTTAAAGGACAAAATAAACAAGGTAAATACAAAGTGACAATTGAAGTCTTTTCATTTAAAACGTATTTACTAGACATTGGATTTAGGCTACATTTAGAGACTCTGATTTATAAACAGGCTCACAAAATAGAGATGTTGAAAGCAAAACCAGTAATAATAATAATAATAATCACAATAATCCTTGCATTTGATATCACGTCATTGAGACTCTCGAAGTGTTTCATAGAATATACTGTAAAGTGTATATACAGAAAATACTGTATATTTTGTGGGCAAAACATGGCAGCCAATTGTGCACAGCAGTGTCCCACAAACAACCATGGATTGAGTGGTCAAATTATTATTAGCAAAACTGCTTGCTAATAGTAATATCTCTTTGAAAATATGTACAATAATATTTGGAGAAATTGTTGTATAAGATAACCAGATGAAATGCTGCACAATTTTCCCACAGAAGAAACAATACGGTTTCACTCCTTTGCATCATGAAAGGTTTGTGTTATAAGATTTCATTCGTTTGATGAAGTATTCTCAGAACATTTTAAAACTAGGGGTAGCTTGGGGATTGATACAAAAAGCACACGACTCTAAAAAAGGAGAGCGGAGTTTCCAACTAATTCTGTAATGAGGGAAACTACTTGTCATTAGAGACAAAAGAAGAAATTGCCAATCTCAGCCCAGTCATCCAGAGAGTCAGTTGATCTGTTGATGTGTAATTTTCCATATAGACTTTTTGTAGGTTAAGTAGCACTGGTGAACATATCCAATGGGTGGAATGATTTTCCCCAGGATCAGTGACTCATTCCCCTTTTTTAGTTTCACACATTGATACCCAAGTTTAAGGAAAATAAAATTGCAATTAAACAAGAGATGTATTTATAGAAAGAGCCAGCTAGCATACAGGTTGAATCAGGTTATTTGATCAGAACTTTTGTTCAGTGAATATTTACATAATAGTATTTTTCTTAATATTGTAACATAACTAGCACAACAAACCTACAATGGGTACCACTGTATCATGTAGGTTGTTTGAAAAAATTCCACTGATTTTTGTAATGCTCCTAAATATTTCCTGTCCAGTAAATTTGGTAACCAGTTATTTGGCATCTTAATTTTAAAGAAAGCCTCTATTGTATAATACTCCATTCTGCTAATTTAGTATTTCTGCACTGAATTCATAAACAAAGCTCTGTTCTGTGTGCATCGCAACTGTTCCACATAAAACATCTTTGTAGCTGATAGTGCTTTTAGAGACAAGCTTCACTTTTAGGGAACTAGTAAGAATGCAGAGTTTGGGTAAAATGTTTCTGAGCATGGTGACCTATGAGTGTTTTAAGCAGTGTTGCTCAATTGATCAATCTCGGTTGTTCTATTGGGTGAGATGTTAAACCAAACACTTATCTGCCTGTTCGTGCAGATATTAAAGATCCCCTCATTATTAAAAAACGGAAGGGAGTTTCCTGGTCAAAGGTTCTCCATATAAATTGGTCATTCACCTCTTACCTGTTTCTGGGACCTTGCTGCATCATTGGCCAAACAACCAGTCACTACACATGTATTAATGATTAACTGAAGCCTCCATTGCTTTTACACTACCTCTGCGTTTCTGAAAATTGCGATAAAATAGTCATTCATGCACCAGCTTCCAATGTCATTGTATAAGTAATGTCATGGCATCAGAAGCCTTTGTTTGTACATTATTAGAAATGTATTGTCATAAACTACTACACAAAGTAGCAGAGGTTGGGAGATGCAACTGAATATCAGATGAATTTGCTACCAGCGTTTTTCCTGGTTTTACTACCATTGTTTGAGTAGTGGCAATTGTGAAATATATTTCTAATAGTTTTACATTTATGTGAGAGCCTCTGATGTTATAGCACTGTTTACATGATAACACCTGACTTCATCCATGCATGAAATATAATTGAGTGTGTTACAGCACCAACTTTTTTCTTTACTGGGTCAGATCTCTTCTGTGCAAAGACAAAAATGGTGATGCATTTTATCTTCTACTGTACATGTGATTCATGAAATCAGAAGCAAAGTTGTCCAAAGAAATGGCGGATTTGCTAAAACAATTGGTTGCGTTCTTACTTAGTTCAGTATTTTACAATGTGACACAACTTATGACAGAAACCATTTAGTGGATATTTAAGTAACAAAAATGAGGTAATTGAGCAATTCTATTTTTAATATGACTAATACTGTGCAATATACAGTAGTTATCATCAAAAGTGCGTTGGAGATTGAGCTGTAATCTGGTAGTGATATTATAAGCATTTGAATTATAATATGCCTTTTTAAACCTATTTACTACATAATATTTATTATTTTAGCAGCAAATGTTCTTCTCAGTTTACCTGAGAAGACAATTTACAATGTTGGTTATTTCTAACAATTGAAGTCTGCATTTTTAACTTGTGCAAGTGTATTTGATATATTTTCACCTTTGATTGAAAGTTATTTTGTTAGTCATAACTTATTCATCCTACATTAATCTTCTATTGTACATAATTGGTTTAGGCTTCAAACATTGTTCCTTATTCTTAAAAATAAGTTATGATATAAGTGTGTAATATTGTATTAAATTGATTCATCTGGTAGTCAATACATATGAGATTAAAAACCTACATAATCGAATAAGATCATTGCAGTATGATGATTTATTGGGCATGACATTCTAAAGTGCAAAGTTTATGACTATTGACTAAAATGTCATCTAACAGACTTCTTGCTTTTAGTCTGTTTGGGTTTTTCCTCCCAGAAATTATATTTAATTAATATAGTCAGATCTTGATAGTGTTTAGTTTCTGGGTTTGCGTTGCAATAAGGGAGGGTTAATGCATTTTTGGAGCCTTTGTAATGTCTAAACTGGTATTATCAGTGACTACCACTAATGACCTGTGAAGAAATCCATAGGAGATTTGACAATGCTCTGTGTATGTATTGAAAATCACGTGCTTTGTCTCAGACCTCTTTCCTCTGAAGAGTACAGTATTTAAGTAGTAATAGCATGGTAGAGCAGCACTACCTGCAGGCAAATATAGGAATCACTTTCACAGCAAAATTCTAGAGGCCTAATGTTTTTTAAAAAAAGAGTCTATTTCTTGTGATTTACCAAATGCTGTACTCTGCCCAGTGCCTTGGGACATCCTCCCGACGTGAAAGGCGCTATACAAATGTAATCTTGTTGTTGTTGTTGAGCAACGAATATATACCAACCATATGGCACAGTAACTCGAGCCTTACTCGAGCAGAGAGCCCAGAGTGAGCTACGTCTGGAGTGAGGCGAGGCCAGAGTGCGAAGGAATTGGGTGAGAGTGGGAATTGCTGTGGGAACTGCTTTCCTGAGTATTCAAGTGTTCAAGTGTTGTGCTACTAAAAACTGTTAAAACTGTTGATACAAAGGCTGTCCAAGGTAAATGTGAGTCCGCTACAGGCAGAGACGGGGGGAATTATAGTAGGGGACAAAGACATGGCCGAGTCATTAAACAAGTACTTTGCTACTGTCTTCACATTAGAAGACACTGAAAACCTACCAAGAATAGAGAGGAACCAAGAAGACAATGTTCGTGAGCAACTTGGGGGAATTAATATTAGTAAAGAAATGGTTTTAGGTAAATTGTCAGGTCTTAAAACTGATAAATCTCCTGGATCTGATGGCCTACATCCTAGGGTTTTAAAAGAGGGGAACTATAGGCCAGTTAGTCTGACATCAGTGGTAGAGAAAATTCTTGAGTCCTTAATTAAAGATGTCGTTATGGGATTCCTGGAAGACCATAACAAGATTAGGCAGAGTCAACATGGCTTTACAAGAGGGAAGTCATGCTTAACTAATCTTTTAGAGTTTTTTGAAGATGTATCTAGCAGGTTATATAGGGGGGAACCGGTAGATGTAGTATATTTAGATTTTAAAAAGGCATTTGACAAAGTGCCACACAAAAGTCTATTGCACAAGATTAAGGCCCATGGGATTGATGGGAACATATTAGCATGGATTGAAGAGTGGCTAATGGGTAGAAAACAGAGAGTAGGGATAAACGGGTCATTCTCGAATTGGCAGGATGTGACTAGTGGAGTGCCACAAGGATCAGTGCTTGGGCCTCAGCTATTTACAATTTACATCAATGATCTAGCCAAGGACATTGAATGTAACGTATCTAAATTCGCGGATGACATTAAACTAGGTGGGAGAGTAAGCTCTGAGAATGATGCAAAAAGATTGCAACGGAATACAGATAGGCTAAGGGAGTGGGCAGGTAAGTGGCAGATGGAATTTAATGTGGGGAAGTGTGAAGTTATTCACCTAGGTAGAAAAAATAGAAAAACAGATTATTTTCTATAGGAGGAATGATTAGATAGTGTTAGTGTTCAGAGGGATTTGGGTGTCCTTGTACACCAGTCTCAAAAAGTTGGTTTTCAAGTGCAGCAAGCAACTAAGAAGGCGAACGGCATGTTAGCGTTCATTGCAAAAGGTTTAGAGTACAAGAGTAGCGAAGTCTTGCTGCAACTGTATAGGGCCTTGGTGAGACCGCACCGAGAGTATTGTGTGCAGTTTAGGTCTCCTTATTTACAAAAGGACAAACTTGCCCTAGAGGTGGTGCAGCATAGATTCACTCGGTTAGTTCCTGGGATGAGGGGACTGACCTATGAGGATAGGCTGAATAAACTAGGGCTATATTCTGTAGAGTATAGAAGAATTAGGGGAGATCTTATTGAAACAGATCTTATTGAAACAAACAAAGGGCTGGATAAAGTAGTCCCAGGGTTGGTTTCCCCTGGTAGGAGAATCTATAACCAGGGGTCACAGTCTTAAAATTAAGGGTCAGCCTTTTAGAACAAAGTTGAGGAAACATTTCTTCACTCAGAGTGTAGTGAATTTATGGAATTCCCTACCCCAGAAGGCTGTAGATGCTCAGTCATTGAACATCTTCAAGGCTGAGACTGATAGATTTTTAAAAAACAGAGGGATTAGGGGATATGGGGATAGGGCAGGTAATTAGAGTTAGGTCTGAAGATCAGCCATGATCTTATCGAATGGTGGGGCAGGCTCGAGGGGCCGAATGGCCTACTCCTGCTCCTAATTCTTATGTTCTCATGTAACGTGTGTTGATTGCAGAATAATTCACTGTACTTATACAAATGTACAATTAACATCAATTAGTGGGGAGAAATCAAAAGTAATGAGACTGCAGAGGGGAATAAGTAGTGGGAATATGCTGAATGACGTTGCTCCAAATTGTTGAAAGATGTAGAATCAGGAGTAGGGTTTTGAACCCGACCCAAAGTTAGTTAATTGAGAAGAAACATGAAAAAATGGTTGGCAGTAGATCTGCAGTGGAATGGAAGGAGCTGTGTCGGGGGCTTCCGCACAGAGTAAATAACCAATACATATTTAATAAATAAATAACCTCAATAAAAAAATAATAAAATTGGTCACTTCAATCCACGACTGTTTATGGGACACTGCTGTGCGCAATTGGCTGCCGCATTTCGTCCACAAATTTACAGTCAATGCCCAGTATATTCTGTGAAGCGCTTTGAGACATCTAGAAGACATGAAACGCACTATATCAAATGCAAGGATTATTATTATAATATGGAAGTGGGGACAGAATCGAAGCTAATGTATTTTGCTGAAAATACAAGAGTTGCAAAAATGGTTAGTTTTCCAAAGTTTTAAATGGATCAGCATTAGGTTAGCATTGGTGGCAGGCTTGTTGGAGTTTAATGCAATTTAACAGTTTTTGCAATGCTTAGTACCTTTAGTCAGAGACAAAATATTTGCCTTTTACTTAATTTTCAATGGAAATTATTGTTTTTGTCTTTTAGGACCCCGGCCAGTTGCATTTTTGCAACATGGCCTTCTGGCTGCTGGAAGCAACTGGGTCACTAACCTGGTGAACAACAGCTTGGGCTTCATACTAGCAGATGCCGGTTATGATGTCTGGATGGGAAATAGCCGAGGAAACACATGGTCTAGAAAGCACAAGACTTTGGACGTTAGCCAGGATGAGTTCTGGGCCTTTAGGTAATACAAAACGAAATATTTCTTAAATGTAGAAATGCAAACGCATGGAAGGTGCAAACTATTGAACAACACTCATGATTTAGTTGCAATATAGGTCATGTGGGCTTGATAAAAAGTGGGCATACAAACAATCTGCAGTGCAGCCCAATTTGCATCTGTTCCAGAAGAGAAGGAAAGAATTGCTGTGGTGTTTGATTTGAGGATCTTGGAGAGTATTTTCAAGGCTCTAACCATCTGGTTCCATAAATACAATTATTTACTCAAAACACATTTTCAGCCCTTTCATTTTGCACACATATTTATACACATACTATATATATGAAAATGCAAAACAATAATTTCCTAATTTATTCAGGCTATGAGAAATGTATGGATGAAAATGCAGTTCATCGTTAATGCAGAGTGTTGATAGCCTCGTTCTTAGTTACAATGTGACTATAATACACTGGACACTTAGCTGGATTAGAATTTAATATATTTGCATATGAACTGTAACTATACTTGCTTTAACTGCCATTCATTCTGAGCTTGTGTGATATTTTCCAGTTATGATGAAATGGCTCTCAAGGACCTTCCTGCAGTGATAGACTTTATCCTCCAAAAAACACAGCAGAAACAGTTAAGCTATGTTGGTCATTCTCAGGGAACAACAATGGGTAAGTCCAGGACCTACAATCTTCCCTAACCTGTGTTTAATTAAACTGAGCACGGTGTAAATGTTCATGCTTGACAAGTCTAACCTGCTCATCAATGAAACTCTTAAGGACTAGATATGTCCTCAACCTTCTGAGCCAAAGCTCTATCAGTTTGAGCTGTATCGGTCGTTGCTGGGAAAGTACTGTTGCTATATGTAATGCTTTACTGTCTCCCAGTATTGCACTAATAAAGCAAACCCCTAACATTGTGTTTTCTCTTGGCTCAGCTTTCATAGCCTTTTCCACAATGCCTGACTTAGCGAAAAAAATCAAAATCTTTTTGGGTCTGGCTCCTGTTGCAACTATTGCGTTTTCTATCAGTCCCCTAGCAAAGCTTGGGAAACTTCCTGACTTTGTGACTAAGGTAAGTGCCTCACTTTTTACTTGTTGTGCTACCAAATGAGTTTTATTTGGGAGGAGAAAATGCTTTAAAAGCTAATTTTGTAATTTGTTAACTACTTTCACAAATTCCAATTTAATTATTTTTACTAAACCACGATATTTACTCCTTTTTGTTTTGTCAAAATACTATTGGTTTAGAATATCTATCAATCTCAACTTTATTCATATGGAGATTCTGATCTTTGTGGTTGAGGTGGTAGAACTCTTGCCTCTGGGTCAGAAGGTCATGCTTGGGTTCATGTTCCATGTCGGGGACTTTAAGCTCATGCATTTAGTGCAGTGATTGCGAGTGCTGTGCTGTCAGAGTGCCTTTCTTCACATGAAACAGTAAATGGAACTCCCATCTGCCTGTTTGTGGACGTTAAAGAAGCCATGACATTATTCAAAAAAATTTCCCATTATCCTGCCCAACAAATTATTGAATTAAAATGATCATTCACCTCCCGGGTATTTTTGGGACATTGTGCAAATTGGCTTCAGTGTTCATCTAAAAATACACTGCTGTTAAATTTATAATAACAATAATAATGGTAAGCTTTGAATTTGATATAGCGCCTTATATAAGAAAAACACTTCATAGTACTTATGAAGTGTTTTGAGACTATTCATTATGACAGTGTGCTAAGTCAAATGCAAAGATTCTTAAAATGCAGGGAAAGGCGTCAAGTAATTTTATTCCTTTTTTGTTTTCATTTTCAGGATCTTTTTGGAAAGAAAGAGTTCCTTCCCCAAAATCGCTTTCTGAAATGGCTTGCCACGCATGCCTGCAATCATGAATTGATTCAGGAACTGTGTGGCAATGTGTTCTTTCTATTGTGTGGATTCAATGAAAAGAATCTCAACATGGTAAGTAGGTGGATGGACACATGTGCAGACAGAAGAGCTTAGCATTCTATACATGACCACATTCAAAGTCAATCAAATGTCAATGTATGTTACCATTGGTATGATTTCTTGCTGTCACTACAATCTGTGCATTTCCAGATTGTGTTTGAGTTGGGTTTATTGTTATCAAAGGCCTATCTGTTTGACTACACTGACACTCACTTCCCCCCTAACCTTCTTTATCTCCTTTCCTGCTCAGTCTTCCACATTGTCTTTGTAAACAGTTTTGAGACATTCTCCCCATGTGAAAGATGCTATATAAATGCAAATTGTTATTGGTGAGCTAATGGTATTTTTTTATTTGCTTTGGGACCTATTATGTCAAGTTTCTCTATCCAACAACCTGGCCAAAGATTATCAAAATGTTTTCCTAAGAATAATGGGAAGGACAGACAATGTAGAGCATTGTCAAATTGGTGATCATTTGATTCAGAAATTAATGTTTTTTCTCATGTATTGCAGCCCCGACCAGAAATAAAACTTATAAAAATAATTTATGCAAATTGACTGGTAATTTTGACAAGTTGTTGATAATTTTGGTGCATTATTATTATGCCCACAAAATATACAGTCAATTCCCTTTACAGTGTATTTTGTGAAGCGCTTTGAGACGTCTAGAAGATGTGAAAAGTCGCTATATCAAATGCAAGCAGTATAAAATTCAATGAGATTGAGTTTGTGCACTAATTTCAGAATTTGGGACATCTGCCTTTTGATACAGCAGATAACAATGTTACACTTTCACATAGCATTTGCACGTGTTCATCCATAACATGGCAGAGTTTTGCTTCTGTAAGTAGAAGTCCTTTGATGGATTTTTGGATTAATTCCATATAATTATAAATCTGCATTGCACTGCAGCAGTAAGACACTCCTTTTACCTTGAATTTGAAGATAGGAATTTAAAGCTTCTTTGGAGATGCACATTTCCAATGGTCAGTCCTTTCAACTCCCCCTTCCCCCACCCCTATGATAAAACACCAAGTTGCATTTATATAGCAGGGCACTTACAAACATGATACAGCCACTTCTAAGTAAGACTTAAAATACGGTAAACTCGTGATAACTTGACCCTGAATTAACTTGCCACAATCATTTGAATCATCATGCTGTGAATATCCCGACTGTATGTATTTATACATATGCCTAACTCACCACTCTAGATAACTCGTCACTGAGTCCTTTTCCCTTGGAGTGATAAGCTATCAGGAATTTACTGTCATTGCTTTGCAAATAGAATTGATATATTCAATTGATTGTTTTATGTTCTTTGAATGTAATTATGATTACAGAATAATGTGAACTGTTTAGTGTTATAGGCTTATTATTACTTTATTAAAAACCTTTAAATTTTCAAAATGTCTCTTTCAGAGCCGAGTACCAGTTTATACAACGCACTGTCCTGCTGGAACGTCAGTGAATAATATACTTCACTGGAGCCAGGTGAATCTCATTTACCAGTTTTACTGCAAAATCTTAATTTGTTGAGTAGTAGTTTTCAATACAATAAGTGTTAAAAAATCACCTAATATGTGATGTGTTTGAAGACACATTAGGTAGTGCAGGTCAAGTTGACAAGAATCTGATCTCCATTTACGTAGAATGTTTCTATTTTCAGGCTGTGAAAGGTGGAAAACTTCAGGCTTTTGACTGGGGCAGTAAAAAAGAAAACATGGCTCACTATAATCAGGTACTGTAAAACAAACTTTGTGCTTTGATAAGTAGTAGAATTATATTACACACAAAATAAACAGTTTTTTGAACTTCTAGTATTCTAAAATATCTTTAAACTAACGTATTAACTTGTACATTCAGTTAAAATGAAATTGATAGAACTTCCTGACACACCATGTCTCAGGCTAACTGCATTAGTCAACTGTTGTTGAGCCTTCTCTGCCATCTCCAATTATGGCCTTCTCTCCAACTTTTGGGGATCAAAATATAGTCACTGCACTTTTACAGTAAATTCTGTGGAATGCTTTGAGATTCCCTCCAGATTTGGAAGGCGCTATATCTTATTTTGGAATATGCCAAGTTAGTTATAAATTTTGCATCAAGTACAGGATTACTTATTTAGATCTGTTTTCTTTGCTGTATGTACTTTGATCGTAACTTTAATACTTGTATTTGATATAGCGCCGTATCATGTCTTTGAGATGTCTCAAAGTGCTTCACAGAATATACAGTAATAATAATAATAATAATAATCCTTGCATTTGATATAGCGCTTTTCACGTCGGGAGGACGTCCCAAAGTGCTTCACAGAACACACTGTAAAGTGAATTGACTGTATATTTGTGGGTGAACGCGGCAGCCAATTGCGCACAACAATGTCCCACAAACAGTCGTAGATTGAAAATGACCAATTTATTATTGTTTTTGGTTTTGGAGGGATTATTATTACAGTAAAGTGTAGTGACTGTGTATTTTGTGGGAGAATCACGGTAGCCAATTGCGCAAAGCAGTGTCCCACAAACAGTTTACCCTTTCACCAGTGTCTGGAATTGTTGGTTGAATTCCCACAAGGCAGACACTGCAATATCATCGAAACTAAGCTTAATGTTTGTTGTATGAATTGATTTGGACCGTTTTACTACAGTGTTCACTGTTTGAGATAAATCCAATTGAACTGGTGCAAACCAGTGATAGAGCTGCCTTCTTAAATGATAGGGTGTTGAGTAAGTTGTGGAAATCTAATGTTCTTTTTTATTTAAAGACTACGCCACCTCTGTACAACGTAAAGGAGATGACCATTCCTACTGCTCTCTGGAGTGGAGGTAATGATTGGCTTGCTGATCCTAAAGATGTGGCCTTGTTACTGACCCAGGTACCTAACCTCATCTATCACAAGAGGATTCCTGAATGGGAACATCTGGATTTCATCTGGGGACTGGATGCTCCAGAACGTTTGTACAATGAAATGATTGAGCTTATGAACAAATATCAATGAAAACGGGAGAATCTGCTCTGAGCTTTTGTTTCGAAATTGGAATGTGGCAAAGCACTCGTTCTGAATCTTTTCCTTTTTTCTTAACTGTCTTTTGTTGATACTAAAGTGGTTTCACATGATTTTAAAGAGAGCCAAATAATATAATTGAAACCACTAAATCTTTAAATGCTTTGAAGATTAGACTTGTGGTTAAGGAAATAAAATGTGTGTCTTGTGGTGGTACAGTAACGTGCCATGGCATGGCAACAACGAATGACAGTCAGGCCCACATAAGTTCCTGGTCTCAGCTCTGCTCCTGCAGGGATGTGTTGAGGGTTTGTCATCCTGAGCTGCTGTTGCATTATTTCTAGTACTTTGTCAGGACATTTGCTGAAACCTGAAAACAGGTTGCCCCCTGTTGGCTTGTCAGTTCTTCCTCAGCCACAGACCTCATTGAAACCAGGGAGAGAAAAATTTACGTTAATGCAGCTAATTAGCTTGTCTCACCATAGTTATTTTGGATTTCAAGCATGTGTTTTCCAGCAAATGTCTTCTTTTGTCAGAAAGGCTTTATATTTTTTAGAAGGCTGCTTTATTCATACAGCTCTTTTTAAGTAGAATTTCAAAGAACATTTTGTTATTTTCAATCTGAAATTTAATCTGACAGATTTTCTTTGTATGTTACTGCCCTGCCCCAATCAAACTACTATACTGCAGTTCTTTTGGTGCTCGTGTGGATATTTACAGTGATTCAAGGAACATCAGCTTCAATTAGTTTCTGAACAGTGATTTGCACATTTATTGATGATATTTAAAAGAGACGCTTTATTCTGAGAGCTCTATAGGAATTGTTTCAACTGCCACTTGACATGTTATTATCTAATTTAGGTTCATATTGCTTATTTAGAAACTTGAAAATGTTAGACACATACAGTATTGTAATGTATGGTCTTTGTCAGCAAGGCAACTTATGAGAGAGGTTGTGTTTGATTTTTTCAATATAATTTTGAATGTATTTTATAGGCACACACCACTGATTAATCTTTCACATGTACAATAAATGAGAAAAACATGATTTTGTTTGTAACCCATCATGAACTGCACAGCAACAACAAACAGTGGCTGTGATCGATGAGTTCCAGGGATTTCTTGAAACATGTGAAAGATCAACACTCAGTACTGTCATTTGTGAGATTTAGCTAATTATTTTTATACAATCAAAACAAGTTGTATTTAATTACAACAACTTCTTGCATTTATATAGCGTCCTTCTTGTTGGGCAGCATCTCTGAACACTTGAAATATGTATATGAACAATTCTTATGGAAAATCACTAATCCCTTGGCTTATACCACAATTTCATTTGGGTTACTTTTTAAGAGCCAATTTAGTGATTAAAATCCTTGGATTTGATACAGTGCCTTATATTGAGTCAAAAATGCTTTACAGAGTTTTCTAGAGACTGTATATTAGTAGGTGAACATGTCAGTCAATTTGCAACTAGGATTATCCTCCACATCTGCTCCACATCCCCCGCCCCAACCGCCCTACCATCGGTGGCCGGGTCTTCAGCCTTTAGGCTCTGGAACTCTATCCCCCAGTGCCTTCGCCTTGCCTCCTCCCTTTCCTCCTTCAAGGCCGGTCATAAGACCTTTCTCTTTGACTGTGCCTTCAGCTCCCCTCTCAACTCTCTACCCCCTCCTCGTTCCCTCCTTCCCTCCCCTCACCCTGACCAATTCCCCCCTGCTCGGGTCCTGACCCAACTGTATAGCGCCTTGGAACGTCCTCCCGACATGAAAGGCGCTCTATAAATGGAATCTTGTTGTTGTTATTGTTGTATCCTACACACAGACAAAGCGAATTACATTTTTTTCCTCTAGTGATTGTTGTCTAGAGAGGCTTCCTTTTCTTTTCAGACAATGTCATCAGATCTTTAATGTTCATGTGAATAGGTAAATGGAATCTTGCTTGAATGTCTCAGACCATTTAAATATCTGGGGATTTTCTCTATGATGTAGCATTGCTGTGCCCTGATTTAGCCAAGTGACCTTTAGGGTTCAGGTGTGGCAGATTTTTGCATCATGAAACAATAATAAAAACTGTCAATTTTTTATTGCAATAGTGACTCAAGAAATTTAATGTTGTGTTTAAGATAAATTAAGCTGTGAGGAAGTACACTGTCTATTCGTATCCATTACTTAAATTCAGTAATCAAACTTGTTTTTAAAGCATCAGTCATTGGAAAAGTGTAAATATATACAGTATATGCATAGTACATAAAGTATGAAACAGCTGTATGATGAACGCAATGATTGAAAATTACTGTTACTCTTGGCTGTGTGATTGTTTTACATTTAGAAATGATTGCTTTGCCTTTGCTGTTAACAGCAGAACTGTAAACCACTTTAATAATAAATAGTTTATTGATTTTAATCCGACTATTGCAGCCGAAACCCTCATGCAGCCGAATGCAGCAAAATGCCTCGTGCATTCATTTGTCACCTCCCGCCTGGATTACTCAAACGCACTCCTCGTCGGTCTCCCCAGCTCCATTATTCAAAAGCTCATTCAGAACTTTGCCACCTGCAGGAGGAGGAGTTGGGGAGGCTGACAAGCATTGAGTTTGCATAGTCACGCCTCAATGTAAGTGTGTATGAGATTTTGACAGCCTGCAGTGTGAGACAGCGGCGGAGGTGGGCGATGTTGCGGAGGTGGGGAAAGGCAGAGCGGGTCATGGTACAGATGTGTTAGAAAAGATAATTGAGGGTAAAACCAAGGCAGCAAGGTTCTGAACTGGCTTAATAAGGTGGAGTGTGCAACCTTGGATGGTGGTGCTGTCAGAGCCTGAGGTGGTGCTGAAGGGAGCCAATCGGGAGAGCCTCGGTCTTGTTGACGTTCAACTGAAGAAAGTTAGCTCTCATCCAGGACTTGATATCTGAGAGACATTCTGTCAGGACAGCAGTGGTCCTGGAGTCAAGGGTGGAGGCAGAGAGATGGAGTTGAGTGTCATCCGCATACATATGGAAGTTGACCCCGTGTTTGCGGATGATGTCACTAAGAGGAAGCAGATAGATATTGAAGAGGAGGGGACCAAGGACAGCCCTAAGGAACGCCACACGAGAATGTGCGGGGGCTAGAGGAGAAACCGTTTGTGGAGATGAAGTGGAGAGGTGGTGTGAGAGGTAACGACCTAAACCAGTCAAGGACCGGAATTGTTCCTGTCTGAAAGTTGTTGTGGATACTGTATTAATTCTACAATGGTTCAAACTAGTTTAATAATAACCAGAGGTTAGAATGAATCAATTTGGAACTGATCTGGCTGTTTGTGGTACAATTATTTTAATATTTCATCAATGACTGATGCCAATGAGTAGAACACACATTTCAGTCATGCAGGTGAGGATCATGCTCACCTTGCTTTAATAAGGCACAAAATGACTGGTCTCTATGTCTTCCTAACATACTTTAACCTCAAGTCCCCATTTCAACATAATTTCCTACAACAGCTCTTTCTACACACATTATAATGACTAATTTGTTTCAAGGTGTGCTTCAGCCCAGGATTGTGCAATGTTTTGTTTCAAATTGGGATTGAAACCTTTTTCCAGGCAGCAGACTAATCAGCCTTTACACATTCTGGTTTCGGGAATTGCAATACTAAATTGCAATACCAAGATCTCACTGGGTGAACTGAATACCGGAAGCTCTACTTACATAGCAACTGGCAAAACACACAAGGCCTATTTTGCTACTGCTGGCAATAGTTATTCTAGTTTGGAGCAAAGAAAGGGAAGAAACTTAAAATTATTGGTGTTTTGTCGTTCTTTGACAAAATGGCTCACAGTAACAATCCATTGTGAAGGCCCATGTTTGACAGAAACGTCCTTCCAATAATTGGTGAACTTCTCCCATCAACCTTGATTGCAAGCAAAATAACTTATTACTGTAATGAAAGTTTCTAAAATCAGCAGGAACAATCTAGGCTAGTCTAGTCTAAGCCTAATCTAGGCTTAATATTGTGAAATATAAAATATGTTAGAATGATGAAAGACTATTTTGCACAAGTAGTATAAATGGGAGTTTAGTGAGCATTCATTTCTCACATAAATAAAAACATCTTTCTTTTGGACAGATGCTCAACTTCAACTTTCTGCCTCTAGGATTTTTTCCGAAGAATACCAACAAGTTTGAAAAACTTCAACCGAGTGGCTATATCCAGTGGAGTTTCTTTATTCTAGAAGAAAAGATGGGATAGAAATATTACATCTTATATAATATTATTAGGATAATAAAACTTGGATTTCAGAATAAATCACATAAATCTTATAGAATAGTTTAGACAGTATATATTTAATGAAACAATTGTTTAATTTGTTGAATATAAAGAATCTTTAAGCTCTTGTATTTCAAAGTGTCATTCGGTCTCGGGCTGCAATAATTTAGTTACACTGAAGTCTGTCCACCCCTCCCCAATCCTTTTACAAGTTAATGAACTGCTGAACTAAATGATGAAGCAGAGAAGCTGTTGGATTTAACAAAATAGAAGCTATAAATGTTATATTAAAATGTATCATGTAATGCAAGTAGGAAATGCCTGACCAATAGAACTTAGAGAGAACCATTTAAACATTGAGCTATGAAAAAAGTCAAACGAGCCCTGTGGCTACAGAACATAACTTGCCATATTTCAATGTGCTTAATATTAGTATCTTAAAAACGTGATTTCCAGACCTCTTTCACAGAGTTGAGTGCTACATGTTATCAAATGTTTTACCAGATTAACGATAGATGAATCTGCGTTTGCTCGAAGAAGAATAGAAGCAGTCCTTAGATTTTTCATTCCACAAGCATAATGAAGGGCTGTGTTGCCTTTCTGTAATAGTAAAGAAAAATGTTAGCCAACTGCTGCCCCTTTTTACTAAACTTCCTGTAGTACAATTGGAGCATGGACCAACAGTCAAAATAGCAGAGTTGACAATTTACAAAATCAATGTATTTTAACATATTGAGATATCTATATTAATAACCAACAAGTGCGTTTAAAATAAATGAGAGTAATTTACATCCAGTAGTGTCACTGGGAGCAGGGATTCTTCCCGCTTGGGTCCTGTTAACCTTGCATGCCAAAGCTATATCAGGTGCACCTAATGTATCACAAGCAGCAGGAAGCTTGCCAAAGAGCACTTCAATAGCCAGATGAACAATAATAATCCTTGCATTTGGTATAGCTCCTTATCACATCTTCAAGATGTCTCAAAGCACTTCACAGAATATACAGTACTGTAAAGTGAATGGACTGTATATTTTGTGGGCGAAACGCGGCAGGCAATTGTACACAGCAGTCTCCCACAAACAGTCATGAATTGAGTGACCAAATTATTCCCTGCCTGGGATTCGAACCAAGGTTCTCTCGCTTGAGAGCCAAGTGCTCTAACTACTAAGCTGTACGACTCCATAGCCTTTCAAGTCAAATGGTTTTAGCCGGTTGAACTCCATCAGTACCCAATGCTTACTCTCCCCAAGGCTTGGCTCTTGTCAATTTCGCCATATACTCTAGAATTAGGTAACTAGGGTGTGTCCCTGCAGGGATAGAGAATGCATTCCACATATGTGAAATTGTCTGGTTTGATTACTCAGCAACATGTTTCCACGTGTGTAGATACCCACTTGTTCCAAAAAATAAATAGCAGTGACAAATTGTTATCTTAGTTACAAATCATACTTATGCTCACATTGTCTACAGCATTCACATTTGCTCCAGCTTCGAGTAGTAGCCTTATCAGACTTTCATGCTGTTTCTTCTTGGATTCCTAAATCACATATATATGTTAGGAACGTTATGAGCAATTCGCAATCAATGTCTAAATGTATATTTATATCACAACTAGATGATATTATCAACTATCCAGAGACTGCACTTAAAATGACGAGGTTCATGTTTCCACTGAAGGAACAAGCCTGTACTTGCAAGCCTGCTCACCTGCTCCACCGATTAAACACAGCTCAGTAAGCAAAGATGGTGCAGAATTGATGCTAGAACAGATTTCTCAAGCATTTAAGGCAATGATAAAATGTATTCAAGTCACAGTCTACAAGACGTGATGCGCCAGTCTGGCTCAATTTGTAGCCCTCTCGCCTCATGAGTCAGAAGGTTGTGGGTTCAAACTCCACGTTGGGACTTTGAACTCCAATCTAGGTCGATATTCCAATGCAGTGCTGAGGGAGCACTGCAATGTTAGAGGTGCCGTCCTTTGGGCGAGACGTTAAATCAAGATCCTGTTTGCCTCATTCGGACATTATGGAATAAATTATCAGATTGCCGATTCAAGAAGCATTCCAATATTAACAAAATATAAATGTTCACGGTTTACTCAAAAAAAATTCATCAAACACATGCTTAAGATATTCAGTCAGGTCCAACTCTTAATATTTGCAGAATTTCTTTTCTCCCTGCGTGTATTTTTAATCAAAAATAAATCAATGAGCTATGAAGAATAAATTAAGCTGACAAATCTTGGCATCCTGGACCATAAATTAGCAGGCAGTCTGTAACTACAACTGTGCACACACGCACAGTTGCTAAACTTCACCATGCAAGTCATGGGAAGGAGGGGTATTAAGACATTTCCCACAGCCTATGTAAACTGTCTGTAGAGCAACATTGGCAGATGCTTGGGAGCAGAATATAATGGTCTGGCATATGGTACAACACAGGAGGTGGGAAGGAAAGGAGAAAGATAAGAAAATATTTTATCTGCAAAGAAAGTTAAAGGCATACAAACATGTATTAATATTTAGAAGATAATAGACAGCAAACTGAACAACTCATGGACATGTAGCATTCATTAACTTCAATATTCAACCAGATGTCACTGGAAATAGTATCCCTTAATAGCCATGATTAAGAGAACTTATTGGAAGTTAGCTCTTGTACATACCATTATGATATAGCCAAGCAGCAAGATGGGCATCAATATGACGATCAGCAGGTAATCTAGGAAGGAAAACTTTTTTCTTACAGCATAATGCAAACATGTTCTTCCCTTCTTTAAAACAAAAATAAAAGTGTTAGTGAAAGAAACAGCATCTAAAATAATTTTAAAACAATCCTAGAGGTTCATCTGCAAATATCAATATAATATTACTTAGTTGTCCGGGCAATTTTGATCATCCAATAAGATAATTGTGGAGCAAGAAACATACAAAATAGGAGCATTATTCTTTAACAGCAGCAACATTTAAATATTTTCATAAGATCACAAAAAGTGTTCAGATGAAGAAGGCCCTTTGGCCCATCTGATCTCATCCTTCCAGAATTCCCACCCCATTGTCATCCTGTCACAGCATCAAACTGTTTTTTTTCCTATTCCATTCATTAATTGTCCTCTGGGTAAAGAAAAATGCACGAGTGTTTGTCCTAAAAATTCCCTTTTCAACTCTAAACCTATGCCCTCTTGTTCTACTGTTTGTTCTTACAAGACTTGCTTACGAATTATCCATTGCAGCTCACTCCTGGGAGTATTTTTCACTGCTTGCCACGGCAAGTGAAAATTATTTCTGAGACTTCTTTCCGTTAAGGGTGCACCTAAAAATATTGTTCTGGGATTACTTTTTCGATCCCATTAAAAATGTTGTATGCCTCTGAGGTCCTCTCTGAGACATCATCCCTGAAGCCAGAAAAGCCCAAGCTTGTCTAATTGTTGCACACAACTGATTCCTCTAACACTGGAGCTTATCCCTGTTGCTCCCCTCTGCACCTCCTCTAGACCTGGGCAGCCCCCAATACACAGTGACCAGACTGTATGTAGTATTTCAGGGTTGGCCTGACCACAGCACGAGTATGACGTCTGGAGACTTAAACTAACTGATTCAGCAATACAGCTCAACGACCCATTTGCTGTATTTATTGCTGTCTCAAACTGGTTTGACATAGCAGTGAGCCAACGAAACTCTAGATCTCTTTCAGCTTCCCCTTTGGCAAGTTCTATCCATCCACGAGCTTCTTATTTTATCTCCTAGATGTAATACATGTTAAACTTCATTCGACAGTTCTCAATCTAAACCAGCGCTACTTTAAAGCCCTAGAGTTAAATACTCAAGAAATAATTAGGGAAATTAAAAGTCAACCCGTAAAAAAAATACCTTGTTTCTGAAATTGACGTCAGCATTTTTCGTCAGAAGAAACTCAATCATTTCATTATTGCCCCCTCGGCATGCAGCGATGATTGCAGTGTCTCCATATTTCGCATCTTGAACGTTCACATCATTACTTTCACGCAGCGCCTTATATATCTCCTCAAAATCATTTTCATACGCCGCGTGGCAGATTGGCTGGGAAATAAAAATATTTCTTAAAGCAAGGCAAAATTATGACCTACATGGAAAATGAAATTAAAAATGTCAAAACTAAAACAATCCTTACACAATGCAAGTTTCCTAGTTTGGATGAGAAACCATGTGGTATTTGAAAAAAAAATATGTCACTTAAAAATATCAACCAAACAGGTAATTGTGATAGATTAAATCTGCTGAATCGAGTGCTTACTCATCATTAGGTGTGCCCTTTATAATAAAATGTGATAAAAAAAAATGCCTTTTTTCCTGCTCTATGATTTAGACACTGGTTGTTACCGACTGTGGAGTCCTGTAGCTCAGTGGTTAGAGCACTTGCCTTGCAAACGAGACACCTGGGTTCAATTCCAGGCAGGGCGAAACCTTGGGCAAATTTCCTTACTCCACACACCTAATAATAATCCTCCAAAACAAAACAATAATAAATTGGTCATTTTTAATCCATGACTGTTTGTGGGACACTGCTATGCACGTCGCGTTTCGCCCACAAATATACAGTCAATTCACTTTACAGTCTATTCTGTGAAGCGCTTTGAGACGTCGAGAAGATGTGAAAAGTGCTATATCAAATGCAAGGATTATTATTATTACTGCACACCTAATTACAGCATCTCTATGTTATTTAAGTATACAGTAACTTTTCTGCCTCTCCACCTCTTTACAGACCAAAAAAAGTTTAAGGATTATATTATTATTAAAATTAAAATCCTGGCAAGGTTTGGCATTGATAACAAATTGAGTTGCTGTTTCAGAGATCCTCCATATCCTGAAACAGCATCTCATCAGACTTCTGATTCAATTACTTCAAATTTCTCAAAGAGCATTGGCCAAAAATGTCTTGAAGTATGTGTTGCAACTGCTTTCAAAAATATTATTATGCATGACTACATAGGGCAGTGAAGACATAAATGTCTCAATCAGCTTCCCCTCTTCAATTTCCTCATAAATTCAAATCAAGTTTACATGCAAAGTGATAGCTGGAATGCAGTAACACGGGTTTCAGTTCTGCAGCTAGTAGAAATAAGAGTTATTTAGCAGTCTCTAACTTGAGCTGGAACTGCCACGCAATACACTAAAAACGGACCTAACTGCCACCTTCTTTCTTACAAAATAATAATATTTGCATTTGCTATAGCACTTTATCCCATGCAAATAAATGCAAACGATCTGAGTTGCAAAAGCATTGTCAGATAGGAATTGTCCATAGCAGATCTAAAAATTGATGAGCTTCAATTGTTAATTTTATATCCCAATGTCACCTTGTTTTAAAACATTGTCACAGTACATGAAAGTATTTTATTTCAAAGCCCTGTTAAGACGATGTCTGTAATGTTTCAGGCTGATATCTAAAGGTGTGGTGAATAAGTATGTAGGGTAGATAGATAAGAATCTACTCAACTATGCAAAACTACTTCTGAATTAAACTACCTTTTTCTAAAAAAAAACCAAATGGTTTATGCGGCGGCTCTTGGTTTTGAAAATATTTCTGAAGTTATTTCAATGAAGCCTTACCTCAGAGTAAAGTATCCCCATCAGTACTTTGGACAAGTTGCAGACGCTGGTTCCGCAGCAGCCTGTAGGACTGCCCAGCAAACAAACCAGCTGAAAGGAAAACCTCTTTAACAGCAAACAGAGCAAGCAGAAAATCGGCAGCACATTGATCTGGGGCAGCTCCCGTTTACTTTTGTGTGGCACCTTTGCTTCAAACGCTATATTAACTCGCAACACCTCAGCACCCAAATGCAAAACGCCACTCCTTAAACCTGGGGAGCTTGGGAACAAATAACCCGAGCGTGGGGCGCGGTGTGTGTTGTATGTGGCCTGGGAGTGTCTTGTCACTCACAGCTCACTCTCATTGGGCAATGCTGCTTTAGTTGCTGAAACAAGGACGTTTGTGGCTCAGGAATCTGAGGCAACAAGTAGCTACTGGAACAGGGCTGTCAATTGTTCTCTAATATGCTCACCTCTCAGCAAGGCTTTTTGTGTTCACCGGATTGAAGATGAATTGGACTGGTAGTTGTAGTTCCCGTCCGTTACATGCAACGATGCAATGAAGCGCTCTGGGACCCTACTCCATGTGAAGGGTGCCGTATTATATAAATGCAAGTTGTGTTTAAATGAGAGTTAAGTAATTATTTGGGGAGGAAAGTTTGCAGGGCTATGGGGAGAGAATGGGGGAGTGGGATTGATTTGGATAGCTCCTTTCAAAGGGTCAGCACAGACACAATGGGCCGAATGGCATCCTTATGTGCTGTATAATTCTATGATTCTATGAAGTATCAACAAGTATCAGGTAAAACACCAACGTTTTGCACAAGGTCCAGGAGTTAAGAGTGAGCATCGGAGAGGTTGAGTCATTGTCTAAAGTAAGGAGGTACTGGCAGATAGACTCTGTGTTGTCAATATTGAGATGGAGAAAATTAAGGCTCATTCTTTACTTGATGTCTGATAGGAAGCGTGTTAGAACATCCCTGGTCCTGGAGTCATGGTTGGCAGCAGAAACGCAGAGCTTGGTATGATCTGTGTATGTACATATATAGAAGTTGACTTTAACCCTTGGGATGACCTCACCAAACAAAAGATGCAGATCAGGAAAAGGAGAGGGTAAACATCAAGCGCTGAGAACATCATCTGCGACTGCAGGGGAAGGAGGAGAAGCCGTTAGGAGACAAAGTGAAGATACTGAGGCAGGCGTGAATGAAACCAGGAAAGTACAGAGTCATGGAGGTGCCTTGGGAAGAACAAGCAGAGGAGATGAATGAAGTGGGCAACAATGTCAAAGGTGACAGAGGGATCAAGGAGACACAACAACAACATCAACAACAAAATTACATTTATAGAGCGCCTTTCATGTCGGGAGGACATCCCAAAGCGCTGAACAGTCAGGGGTCGAGACCCGAGCATGGGGGAGGGGTGTGGTAGGGGTGAGAGAAGGCAGAGAGGTGGGATGGTGACCAAAGGCACGATCGAAAAGAAAGGTCTTGAGACCGGCCTTGAAGGAGACAAAGGAGGAAGCGAGGCGAAGGGACTGTGGGATGAAGTTCCAGAGTGTGGGGGCAGCGAGGCTGAAAGCCCGGCCACCGATGGTAGGGCAGGTCGGGCGGGAGACATGGAGCAGGCCGGAGCCCGCTGAACGAAGGGAGTGGGCAGGTTGGTAGGGAGTCAGCAGGTCAGAGAGGTAGGAGGGGGCAAGGCCATGCATTGCCTTGAAAGTGAGGACAAGGATCTTGAATTTGATCCTCTGGGGGATGGGGAGCCAGTGGAGTCGGGCGAGGGTGAGAGTGATGGGGGTCGCGGAGCCTGGTGCATGAGAGTACACGAGCTGCAGAGTTTTGGATGATCTGCAGCTTGTGAAGGGAAGAGTTGGGAAGGCCGATAAGGAGGGAGTTTCCGTAATCGAGCCTTGAGGTGACGAATGCGTGGGTGAGGGTTTCGGCAGCCTGAGGGGTGAGGCAGTGGCAGAGTCTGGCAATGTTGCGAGGGGGTGGTAAACAGTTCCGGTCATGGCGCGGATGTGGGGGAGAAAGGACAGTTCAGGGTCAAACAAGACACCCAGGTTCCTAACTGGCTTAGTGAGGTTGAATGCCGTGGAGGCTGATGCTGCCAGCACCTGAGGTGCGGAGGCGCTGGCATGAGCCAATCGGGAGGGCCTCAGTCTTGCTGACATTGAATTGGCGAAAGTTGGCCCTCGTCCAGGAATTGATGTCGGACAGGCAGTCGGTCAGGACCTCAGTAATCCTGGAGTTCAGGGTGGAGGCAGAGAGATAGAGTTGGGTATCATCCGCATACATGTGGAAATTTACCCCATGTCTGCGGATGATGTCACCAAAGGGGAGCATGTAGAGGATGATGAGGAGGGGACCGAGGACAGAGCCCTGAGGAACACTGCACGAGACGGTGTGGGGGCTGGAGGAGAAGCCATTTGCTGTGACAAATTGGAGGCATGGGCACAGGGAATCATGGGCACAGATGGGGAGGATGTTTGTGACTTTGACCAGGGTTGCTTGTGGGCAGGGAGGAAGCCAGATTGAAGAGACTCATACCAGATAGTAATGGAAGCGGAAGGAATGAACAGACAGGATTATACATCTTAATTAATTTTAGTACAGATTATATATTTTTCAGTATAATTTCAGTTCCCCTTCTAAATTGGTTTTGCATGCGAACTAATAGCCATCAGAAGGTAATAATGCTGCAATTTTAATTTATTTTCCTCAGTTTAATCTGCAATTAGTCATTTGCATCCTGAGTGCCTTTGTGCTCTATATTTGGAACACATCATTTATCTCTGATTCACACATTACTCTTACCATTGTTTTTTTTGTCAGAAAAGGGAACTGAGATTGGATGTGATTGCAATATTGTTGTCCAGAATTTTAATATTGACAAAGATACACCAGGGCCTAAGAGAAAGCATTCATTGTTAATTATCAAATTCAAGCACCAGCTGTGGACTTGTCTTATAAAACTTTTAATGGGTTTGCTTCAAACTATGCCTACAATTTAAAGGCACAGAAACACAGCATCTATTTGAGAATGGAGGTCTAACAGTTACATTTGTGCAATTTGATTTTTGTATGTCAAAGCAAGCTTTTAATATGTCACAATCGACAAAATGAGAACTGAGCATTTTAAAAAAAAAGATAATTTAGAAACTAACCTCCTCTCAAAAATTGCTAGGTGCTTTTATTCATGTGTGTACACAGAATAAATAATATTTTAATAATATTTTGAGAAGACAAAGTATAATTATATGGGGAAATTATTTGTAAGGAATTTGTATATCTGGCTGAGGACTATTGGAAAGTGGAACCGTTGTGGACAGATCTGGGTGAATACCAGAGATCCTGCCCGGAAGTGACACTTACTACGTAATTCCTATATAAAATAATATTACTAATTTTGATTCTAAAAGGTAACGTACTTTGATAGACATTAGTTTGAAACGCAAAACGCAATTCATAATCTATAGGTAGGTATATAAGAGAAACAGAAAATCAATTAAAAATAAACAGTATGCGACATACTGTGTGGATACTTATCAGATGGATACAAACAAGTGTCGCCAAACTATTGTAGCGATTTTCAGTGCAATAGTGACATTACAGAAGTAGACCAACAGGTATCACTGTTGTTATTTACAGATTGTCAAAATATCCAAACAAATTTATTTCAAAAGTGTTTCCAGATGTGTTTTTATTCACAAAGGTACACAGACAGGGTGTTATTGATTGTGATACTGACTGAAATTTAAAAAAATTGATTCAAGAAGTGATATGACCAATCCCACTGTCACAGTCAACCATACAGAGGTACGTTAATGCTGCAATTATACGTTAAAACTGCTTCATAATGTGTGAGTGGCCAAGTAATGTGGAATGTTCCCTGACCACATTACAGGACAGCTGTTGGCAATCTTGCTGTAAGGTAAATGCAACAATTTTGCACTCCAGGGATGATTTATAGCCTGAAACATCAGATGGGTCCAATAACAGAAGTAAGGATCTGCTAGAAATAATCACAACTAATTTAGTCATCTCTGAAATTAGGACACAAATCCAGAAGTGGAAGTGCTGTGAGAAATTGAATCTCTTCCCACAGAAGAGATCAGATAAGTTTTGCTTTTGCTAATGATCTAATCCCACAGCACAGATATGGTAGAAGCTCCAAACGGTAGTGACTTTGTTGGACTGGGGTTAAGCATATTTACGTTTACATCATCTACACATCTTCAGAACTTGCCAGAACATCTCAAGACTGAAGCTCGCAAAAGGCCATTCTACAGTAATAACTCTTAAAAAGTGGTATGATTTTTCTTACTGCACTTTTAAAAAAGAGGGGTGTAATTAGAACCTAATTCAATAATACAAACAAAACATGTGTTATGTCTTTATTGAAAAGAATGCGGTTCAGATACTGAGACCTTTCTCCCAAATAAACCTCACAAGATATTCTGTGAAGCGCTTTGAGACGTTTCAACGACGTGACAAGGCGCTATATCAAATGCATGGATTATTATTATCATTATCATCATCATTATGAAGACGCACGGATTATTTCATAGCCTTATAACCAAGTCGCAGCCCATGTTCGAAGGTTCCGGGCCGACAGGGCAGTGTCTGCCAAGCGATCGCTATATTAAACGTTCGCCAAAATGGAACAGAAACAGCAGCATGAGAATATGGGGATTATTAATTTGTAGGAAGGAGCACAGTTGGGGGATTGTGCCTTTAAATCCGCCCCCCAAAAAAATTCTCGTGGCCATTAAAACAAGCCCCAGTCTCATGCAGATAGCAGCCTGACACCAGTCTCCCCCCCCCCAACCCCCAACAAAACAACAGTCAGCAATTCACATTACCATTATCTTTATTTCAATGACTTGTTTATTTGAAACGCACAACTGCACTGTGCTGCCCCCTCTCCCTTCTCGTCATTTCCCAGGGGTGGGGGGGAGAGAGGGGGTGGGAGAGGGGGGGGAGAGAGGGGGGTGTGGAGGTGAGAGAGGGGTTGGGGGTGAGAGGGGGGGTGGGGATGAGAGAGGGGGGGTGGGGGTGAGAGAGGGGGGGTGGGGGTGAGAGAGGGGGGGTGGGGATGAGAGAGGGGGAGTGGGGGTGAGAGAGGGGGGGTGGGGGTGAGAGAGGGGGGGTGGGGGTGAGAGAGGGGGGGAGAGAGGGGGGGGGTGGGGGAGAGAGAGGGGGTGGTGAGAAGGGGGGGAGAGAGGGGGGTGGGGGTGATAGGGGGTGAGAGAGAGGGGGGTGGGGGTGAGAGAGGGGAGGAGAGAGAGGGGGGGTGGGGGTGAGAGAAGGGGGAGAGAGAGAGGGGGGTGGGGGTGAGAGGGGGGGGTGAGAGAGGGGGGTGAGAGGGGGGGGTGAGAGAGGGGGTGGGGGTGAGAGAGGGGGGGAGAGAGGGGGGGGGTGGGGGAGAGAGAGGGGGTGGTGAGAAGGGGGGAGAGAGAGGGGGGTGGGGTGAGAGAAGGGGGAGAGAGAGAGGGGGGTGGGGTGAGAGGGGGGGGTGAGAGAGGGGGGTGAGAGGGGGGGGTGAGAGAGGGGGTGGGGATGAGAGGGGGGGGAGAGAGAGGGGGGGGGGTGAGAGAGGGGGTTATCTCACACACTAATAACAGAGAGATTCACGCAGAACAAAGCACTGGGTGAGAGCAACGCGCCTGCGCTGCCAACGTGTGGTCATTCACAGCGCATAAACCCTGCACTTGGGAGTGAATGAGAGTGAGTGAGTGAGAGAGAGGAGGAGGAGGGTTTTGCCTTTTTTTTTGTACTTTGTTGCCTTTGTTTTTTTGGGGGGAGGGGGGGAGCAGGACGCCAAGATTCTCAGCAGTTTGTGCTGAGGGTTTACATTGCCAGGAGCCCCTCTTGAGATATGCCCCGAATGATTGATTGATTGATGGACAGACAGAGAAAAGGATCCGCTTCAAATCCGGTGTTGTGAATAAGAAACGCCGGTGACTGGTGTGGAGGGAGGACACACACACACACAGACAGAGGGAGAGAGAGAGGACACACAGAGAGAGGACACACACACACACACACACAGAGGGAGAGAGAGGACACACACAGAGAGAGGACACACACACACACACACACAGAGGGAGAGAGAGAGAGGACACACAGAGAGAGGACACACACACACACAGACAGAGGGAGAGAGAGAGGACACACAGAGAGAGGACACACACACACACACAGAGGGAGAGAGAGAGAGGACACACAGAGAGAGGACACACACACACAGAGAGGGAGAGAGAGAGAGAGAGCTCAGTGCCTGTGGCTGTATCTCCACAGCAGAGTCGGAGCTGATTGTTCAGTGACACAATGTAGCGCCGCTGATGCGGCAGTGAATTCCAGCGGCTGCTCAATGGTCTCTGTTCGAGGGAAACACAGACAGAAAACCCAGTGGACAGAAACGCAGCACATTCCCAGCGCCGGGGGCGGCTGTGCTGGTGGTGGTGCTGTGCTGGTGGTGGTGCTGTGCTGTGCTGGTGCTGTGCTGTGCTGTACTGTGCTGGTGCTGTGCTGGTAAGTGACCTTTGGTTGGTTTCGTCTCAGCGATTGCAGCGACAGTTGGTGCGTTTAATTAAAAGGAGCGGAAACGCTGTTGGGGAACCGAGAGGGTGGACATCAATTTGCATGTTGTGACTTTGGTATTTCTCTCTCTCTCTCTCTCATTTTTAGAGGAGAGAGAGAGAGAGAGAGGGGGAGGAGGAGGAGGAGGAGGAGGAAGGAGGGAACTGATATCGTTGACGGGGCGATGGCAAATCGATCTGAACTTTTCGGCAGTTTTGCAAATGAGCACTTCTTCCTATCGCAGACGCGTCGGTTTTGATGCGATGCCCTATTGCCCAGAATTTCACACCGTCCCATTTGTTTATTGCACCGGTAAACCATCTCACGCGGGACTCGCAGCGATCGTACGGTCCGGGGCTTCGGCATCGTCTGCAGTGTTTCGGGAGTCCGTTCTTATTTTTAATTTGCACTTGTGTTTCGTGTTCGCTGTCCCTGGAACCCACTGAGCGACATGGATCTGGACACGAGAGAAAAAAGTAACTGGTTGATCAGAAGCGACTCTTGGCAAACGTTAATTCGAGAATATACTCATGGAGTGAGTGGGAATATATTCACGCAGTACAGTGTAGGATACTTACATCCTGAAAGTGGAGCCATATGTTATGTTAAAGAGTTGCAAATGTGAAGTCCATGCATTTTTTTAAAAAAAAACACATCATTTCTGAGTGAAATTGTGCCATTTTTCTCTTTTTTTTTAAACAAAATACACAGTCACTACACTTTTCCAGCGTGTCCTGTGAAGCGCTTCGAGACGCTTCGAAGACATGAGGTGCTCAACCAAGAAAACACCTAATGTGTAGTCTGACGAAGGGTCGTGGACCCCAAAGGTTGACTCATTTTCCTTTCTCCATAGATGGTGCCTGATCTGCTGAGCGTTCCCAGCGACTTCTGTTTTTGTGTCAGATTTCCAGCATCTGCAGTATTTTGCCTTTTGTAGTTATCCAGAGTGTTCCACCTGCCCACAATTTCATACTATTTTGAGAGTTACGTTAACATTCGTAATGTTTGTATGCCTTAGAACAACTACAGTTACTTTACGTTAAAACCCTGCGAAGCACTTTGAGATGTTTTGATGATTTCGTAAGGCCCGATATCAAATGCAAGGAATATCATCAGCAGTAACATAATCTCTGTGCAGTTTCCAAACATTGCACTTTGCAAAAATGAGAAGAGCAATAATCCTATTTGAACTAGTTAATGGGATTATTATCTCGTGATGTGGTAGATTCTCAGAAACTCTGGACCATGTGATGATCAAATCTTTAGCAAATAATCAGAAAGTCTTCTTCTGATATCTATGTTAACATTCGCAGGAGCCTCATTTCTCTCATAAATCTATAGAGTGGCGTTTTCTATAACCTGCACAAACTGGGCATGCACACAATTAATAGATTTTGTTGTGAAAGAAAGGTCTTGCAGCGGTGAAGTAAAATGTGACCTTTGTTTCCTGATCTTTAGGAGTGGCACAGGTGAGTCATTTTCAGATACACATTGCCTACCGACGTGAGTCATTTTAATCTTGCCTAGGTTGTTTGCAGATTAAATTGGTTATTAGCTGAAGGTTGCTTATCTTGAGGTTGTTCCTCTCAGCCCTGCCAGGTAACCAGTAGCACATTGAGGTGGAATACTATAGCATATATATTTCGCACTCACTTTTTTAATTCCATATGCCAATACATTTTCAATATGTAACCCAGTAAATACAGTAAAGATACCACGTTATGTAAAGTCTTCAGCACACTAAATGGAAGTAACACTGTAGATGGCATGAAAGGTGGCTGATGTTTGGAATAATCAATGACATTCAGTATCTACTAATAATACTCCCTTTTATAAAGTGAACTCTGTGCGTGGAATCCACTGTGCAATGGAATGAATCCCACAAGCAATGGGAAGAAATAACACAGAAGAATCATCAGAATATTTAAGTATAGTATGTAGATTCAACCTTGTGTGAGAGAAATTCCGCAATTAGTTATTCTCGTTCTTGCCACAAACATGCAATAAAAATAATTGGAGGATTTTTCATCATTCTGATTGAATATTGTTGCAAGTGTGCAAGTATTAAAGTAATTTAAAGTACCTTTATACTGAATTTTGTTATCTGAAATGTCTTTCAACCGTTTCCAAAGGGCTTTGCATCTAATATTTCAAAATTCTGTAAAAGGAGTTTCATTTAGTTTATAGCAAGAATTGCCTCTAAGGCAATTTAAATATAATCGAATAACTCGTGAAGAATTGAGTTTAGATTATTAGGTACGTAACTCACTGGGAATATACAAATAGGCACATCATAGCTTTACCACTAAATGCAGATTACTGAAATAAGCAAGGTCTTGGGTAAAGGAATAAAGGAGTACCTTCAAGTTTGCACATGACCTTAAACTCGCTATGGAAACTAGTTAAAAGTGAAACCAGAAAAAAATTGTTATACAAATAGTCGTTAGAATGTACTATATCCTCCCCAAAAGCCACACATGCAGAAGTAATTGATCTGTTTAAAAGGGAGAATAACCAACTCCTATTACTGTACTATATTCCTGAGGAACATATTTATTGCAGGTGGAGTCTTTCTATGACTGGTTTAAGGGTGCTTTTTCATGTGGCAATCTTTTAATAGGACAGAATATAGAAGCTTGTTGCACAGCTGCAACTCTTTGTTATTGTGGTTTGCAAGATGCTCCTGGGAGTATGAAATCAGGCACCAATCTCAAACCTTATCATTGCTTCAACCTTAAATTAGCAGAACCACAACCTTAAACATACCATCTTCTCTGTATGTGGAATAAATTCTACATGATGCATTCTGCATGATAAACTCTCAAAGTTTTGTCGGTATTGAATTTAATACCTTTCTGAAGTTGTAAATGATTCAAAATATTTGATAAATTCACTTAAATGCAAGATTGGAGAGTAGCATAACAATTAAGCTGTTTTACTTGGGCTCAGGAGGTTGGGTAATTTCTATCTTTCTGAGCATAAATCTGTCCCAGAAAGAGAATCAATTAAAATGGAGCAGGGAAAGTGGATGAAATGCAAATGATTGTGGCAAAATAATCTTTGATGAACTGGCAAGTATCACATGCAAACTGGTGTTACCCTGGTGAGTTGCTATGAAGGCAAAGAGACAACAGAGCACACATGGGAACTTGTAAGAGAGAAGCAAGGAGATTACACAGGGGAATAATATTCTATAACTGTTGAGAGTGAACAAAGAAAGCAGGAGACCCTGGAGAATTGGTGTGGGTGAAAGAAACTTAGGAAGGACGCACAAGCGAACAGGTGAAAGTGGAAAGTATACGGTGGGAGTGGGAAGCTGGGAGAGTAAATGGGGAATAGATAGAGTTAGGTAAGTGGAAATTTCTTCTTCAGTCTTGTCATTATACATGGTCAGAATGGGAATGAAGCTGTGCATGTCCAATGGGTGAAGAGTATTACTGTCAGAAAAATGATCCATAAAGAATCTATATGTGGTACTTAAAGACAATAATTTGCAGTAAATTGGCAACTGCAAGTGTATCTTTATCAGGGATGGCTTTTGCCTTGTGCAGTATATTTTACCAGACAATGATACTAAATACTATCTGGTTGATCTGATGTCAGATGATGGATAAAGTCAAGATCGATTTACATCAGACCAGGAAAATCTTAACTCCTTAAGCTTAACCCCCATACTAGACTGGGGCCCAGTGTAATTGTATAGTCGTAACGTCATCCCTGATCTTTAGTATTATAGAGTAACTTATTATTATTAGCTGGATAACTGTTTTTAGTGATATTATGTGTGCAACATTATAGTCTTCCATTCTTTAAAGGAAATTATAGTTCTGTTTCTTTTCTTTCCAGGGTGACTTGACAGATGGATACATCCAGTGGAAGCAGCAAAGCTAATTCTTGTTCAGCAAAGAACATGAATGAACCATATACCTTCACTGCATTGGTATATCTTACAGCTGTTATTACATTAGTGATACAAAGAGTAAAGTATGTTAATGTTAAAAGGTCTAAAGGAAAGGCCACTGCTCCACTAGAATAGCATTAAGCCAGGTTTGTTTCTGGTTTGTGATGAGTTAGTTGGTTGCATCTGAGTCAGTGATTGTTACAAATGTTCTCAACACCTGTGGACTAGCCAGATAATTGTTGTCCATTGATACCCTGGAAAATGTGTGTGTGTGTCTAGATTTCAAGTGAAGACTGGATTAGGCTCAGCTCCAATGCTGTCCACCATGGAATAGGCTGCTTATAATCAATATTGAGGCTTGCATGAAAAAATCAACTTGCTTGAGATATTGAAGGACAAAGCCTCTTTTTGGATTATATATCTATGTCTTCTAGCTGTTAGCTCGAGCATCAGATATTTTGTGAAGCCTTGAGAGGTTGGTCTGTGATTGGATCATTTCAGTCGAAAGTTATGGGACACAATTTTAAAACTGAACCTACAGCCTTGGCATCTCTGCTATAAGTTACGATTTACCCGAATCTGTCTATTCTCAGCCCTTTAGCTAAGATCAAGTGTAGTATCTGTTCTTATCAGTTACTCCTTGGGGAAATACGCAGGTCAGAAAGATCTCCTGTTGAGATTTGTTTGTGTTTACAAGTCCACGACTGAATCTCCCTATAATGCATTCTGGAAAGGTTAGGAGCTGTCAGGAGCTGCCTTCGGCCCACTGGGATTGGTGTTGCAGCGTTTCCGATCTGAGGAGTTTGATCTGTCCTCACAAAGAAGAAGTGGAGATACTGGAATAAGAACTTGCTTGAACAGTTAGTCACTAGGCTCAGGCCGGGGAGGTTGTTTGCATGGGCAACTCTCATTACCTTGAGGAACGCTTTTCGGTCTAATTCAGTTTAAAGGGGTCAGTAAGGCTAACCTCGCTCACCAAAAAAACTTATAACATGTTCTCGCTGTAATATGCTTTATAAGGATTCCAAAGACAGTGTTATTCTTTGCCTTCAAATTTGTGTTTTGACAAATGTGACTTTGCTATAGCAGCTTGTTTTGTATAATAGACAGAAATGTACATTAATTGTTTTCCAGAAGAAACTTGTTGCTGTGCCTGATCACACAGACGTTAGCCTGTCTCCAGTAGAGCGAGTCCGAGTCCTGACCAAATTGGGCTGCAACATAGAGATTAGTGAAGACATTACTCCACGTCGCTACTTCAGATCTGGAGTGGAGATGATTCGAATGGCATCAGTATATATGAAAGAAGGAAATCTTGAGAATGCTTTTGTCCTTTACAATAAGTTTATCACGTAAGAACATTGTTGATGCAGTACTTACATCTTGTAAAGGTGGCTGGTGGCTATGCATGTTTTTTACTCCATGGTTCTAACCCTAATGCATGTTTTATATGTTGACCCTGATACATAATAAACTTGTGCAATATTTCACTAATAAACTTGGTTAGGTTTTCACACAAGCTGTTCAACATAATTAATCTGTGTAAAGTTACCTTTAGAGTTATCAAAGGCCTATTGTTGAAATAGATGCATGTCATGTAAGGACCTATGTCACATAATCATTTGGCATTAAGAGTATGTTTGCTTGGCATGTTAAAAAGACAGATCTAACTCACTTAAGAATGCAAAATTTATATGAAATGACAATTATTGTAAATTCAACAACTTTCAAATTAGGAAACTAGTAGACCAATTAATGCATCAAATCCAATTTAGAAATATCACAAAAAACGAAAGAACTCTGTAAATAATATGCTCTTTAATACAATGAAGTTTTGTATAGCTCTGAAATATGGTTGTAAAGAGGGATCAAATATCAATAGTCTCTTCAGTTACAAAGCTGACTGAATGTACCAGTAAAACTAATTATGCCAAGTAAGTTTATTGTTCATATCACAGGGTACCATTTCACTCTCTATTGTCTATTTCTTCAAGAATGAGGGTGAAAAGGAGCCAGCATAAAATATGAGGGAGTGTATTACTTCCGCTAATGGTTTTAACGTACAGTGAGAACAATTATCTTAGTAAACTGCTGGGTGTATTGCTGAATTGTTGATATTCATTTTGCAGTTTGTTTGTGGAGAAATTGCCCAAGCATCGGGATTACCAATTATGTGCAATACCAGAAAAACAGGATATTCTAAAAGTATGTATGTGTGATTATTTGTTTGGAGAGCAAAAGAGCCATTTGTTGATGGACAGTTTCAAGCTTGCTTTCTCACTGTGAAATGTTTCCATTTCACTGGATGCTCCATTCATCAGAACTGATGAAAGTTCAGGTTCTGTGCTTTTGAGTAGCTTGTATGTTAAACTCAGTGTTGCTGTTACTTGACTGCTCTATTATTACTTAGACTTTTAGAAATATAAATTTCACCCCAAATTCTAACTCCTGACAACTCTGTTTATCCTTTATTCAAATAAACCATACAATTCAAGACTTCCACATAATCTGCATTTCTACAGCATGAGGTCAATTCTGTCTCCTGCAAAGTGCCTCATCAAGGCTATGATTTGGACAGAAGTTTACATTTGCAGATATTATTTCACATGCGGGTCCTGTAGCTCAGTGGTTAGATCACTCGCTTTGCAAGTGAGAGACCTGAGTTCAATTCCAGGCAGGGCCAAACCTTGTTTCCTTACTCCATACGCCTAATAATAATCCCTCCAAAAAAAAACAATAATAAATTGGTCATTTTCAATCCATGACTGTTTGTGGGACATTGCTGTGCGCAATTGGCTGCCGCGTTCGCCCACAACTATACAGTCAATTCACTTAACAGTATATTCTGTGAAGCGCTTTGGGACATCTAGAAGACATCTAGAAGCGCTATATCAAATGCAAGGATTATTATTATAGAACAAACCTCTAACACAAGTGGTGGAAGAAGAAAGTTCCTGGCATTGCAAAATTATTTTTTTTAAATAATGAGATAGATGGGTCATAACAATCTTTTGGCAATTTGATGTGAGAGCTAGATGGTCTACTTCTGCCTTAACCTGTTATTACATTGTATTGGCAGTTGGTTTCCAGTGTTCTGTTGATGCAACCTGTCTTCTTTTGTGAGTACTTGTTATCCAAAGTTCAGGATCTATTGTTAGGCTACAAATGCCAAATGGAGAAAGTAACAGCCAATCACTTTTCACCAGCCATGTAATATTAATAATTATATATTAGAATAAAATGCAATGAGTATAACTTCAGATTTTTCCATCTTCTGTGATACAAATGATAATGTTACTTTTATGTTTTAATCCAAGAAATTAAAAGAAGTGGCATTTCCAAGAGCAGATGAATTAAAGATACAACTTATTTCCAAATACAGTGGAGAGCATGAAAACTATTATAAGAATCAGGTAATTGTAATATCTTTTTCAGACAAAATTGAATCTTGCAATATTTTTCTCTTTATTTTGTGACATCTTTCCTTCATTGCTCCAAAGAAAGCTTCTTAGATTTGAGTAAAAGCACTTAGATTTAAGTGCTTTGAGATGTCTTTGAGACGTCTCAAAGCACTTCACAGAATATACTTTAAAGTGAATTGACAGTTTTCCCAACTTCTCCCAATACGCTTGGTTATGTTGCAAAATTGTGTGTGTAGTAACGGAGTTATATACCTTAACCTAATTTCCTTTTGGGGAAACGTTGGAATTGGAAGTGGTACATTTTGCTTGCAATTGTTACTGATAACTGAACAATGATGAGGTATAATTTTATTTTAGAATTTTTAAAGTGCCTATATGTTTTTCACAGAGCAAATCTAAAGAAGGGTTTTTAGACAACGTGGAGCAAAACCAGGTTCATGAAGAAAAAGAACGTATAGCTAAGATCCGGCAGCAACAACTGCAAGAGGAGCAATTTCGTTTCTTCGAGGAGCAGCTCAAAAGGCAAGATGCCGTTAAGGTGCAACAGAAAGAAGTAAATCTGAGCTTTTCAGAGCAGAGTGATGGAGGGATATTAAACTGCATTGCTGCAGCTCGGATAAACAATGAGCCTTCGACTGTGATGTCAAGTGCTGCCCAACCAATGTGTCCTCCAGTGGACAGGTCTCTGAAACCTCGGAATAATGCTTCTAGTAAGTATCAATAATCAAACACCCCTTTTATTGTTGGATCATTAAGTACATTCTTTCCTTTCAGTAGAAAGTTAAGGAGAGGATCTAACTCGTCATTAACCTTTCAACTTCTGATTCATTTGTGTCACTGAAACACAATTTTTTTTAAACTTAATTTTTCAAGTCTTCAAAATGAAGACTCTGGGGCTGATTTTCCATTTGTTGGTTAACTTATTGACCTTATTGGTGCACATGTTTCTCCTGATGTCCCCCAAATAAAATTGGTCAATGGTTTCATGACTATCTGTGGGACACTACTGTACACAATTATGGTGCTATGTTTGCCTACAAATACAGTCACTCCATTTCACAATAATTCTTGCGAAATGCCTTCATACGTAATAAGGTGCTATATGACGTGCAAGAGTTATTATTGTTTATCATTATTACATTCGAAGGATATGCAAAGGTCTGCAAATTTAAAAAATGGGAAATTACCCCCTGTGTATTCAGGTTCTTTGTGTTTGTGTGTGCGTGCCTTTTTACCTCTGTTGATAATTCTGTTAGTGCTATGCATTTAGCTGAGTAGAATACCTCATCATGCAGAATGGTAAATTAAATTACAAAGTCATAAGGATGTGCCCTGTAGCAGTTGGGAATCTCACATAAAATAGATTTCTTTTTCACTCTGTTTACCATTTATTTCTACCCCAAATTATCTTGCAGGAAAAAGCATTGTTGGGCTTCGAAATGTTGTCCTTCCCAAAGATCTTTGCCAAAGGTTTCTGATTCAGGCCGATACCAACACAGTACGAGAAATAGAAACCTGTGGAATTCTGAGTGGCAAGCTGGTAAGGGAACAGAGGAAATATAAAAAGCATAGTTTCATATCCCTTCCTTCTGCCTCTTAATACTCACTTTGATAATTTCAAGGCTAATTGAGTAAATAATTAAACAATCTAAATCATGGAGCAGCTGAGGAAGTCTAGGTTTACATTGGACTTTAATATGTTCTATTAGATCTATTACTGTATTAGCCTTTCATTTTTGCAAACGTAAAACATCAGTGTTATTGATTAATGTAATTGATGGGCCATATAGAAAAAAACTGCTAGATTGAGCATTTTCCCATAATTAATCTGGCAGCATAGGTCTGCAGATCTGTGAGTGCAAACTAACAAAGCACAGTGCTTGTCTTATTTATTAAGTGGAAAAAAAGTGTTTGGCACTCACAGTGCAATAATGTTGAATTGTCTTTCTCTTAAGTCGCTAAGTAATAGTACTCCCTGTCTATCAATCATTGAACACTGATCTTACCTGTACAATTTTTATCATTCTGTTTTTCTCAAACTTGAAAGTTAATTTCAACTAGAACTCTTTGAATTGAATTATTTGCATCAGTTTGTGCTCTTGCTAATTTTGTGCATGCAGAATGGATGACTCTACCAATGCAAGTAGCTGAAACATATAGTATAAGAGATCCCCATAAAGGGACATGGATTGTCAGATCTATCTTAAAAAATACGTTCTTGAACATCATCTAAAATTGAGTTTTTTAAAGAAAATTGCTATCATAATTGTCATGCCTATTAATGAATATAAGTGTTCAAACTCAGTCATTTTAAAATTATTTGCTTTAATTTCCACCAGAAATAAAAACTTGTGCTACCGTAGCTTAAGGTACAGGTACCATTTGTGTTCTTGTCTATTTGTAATCTAGGTCACAAGTAAATGTAATATTCATGCTATGGCATCCTGTTTATAGACAAATGATGAGTTCATCATTACCCATGTGATAATACCAAAACAATCTGGGGGACCGGATTACTGTGACACTGAGAACGAAGAGGAATTGTTTACTTTCCAGGATCAACATGATCTCATCACCTTGGGTTGGATTCATGTAAGTACAGATAGTCACTCAGTTGTTGATTATTGTACGAATTTCATTGATATGCTTTAAACATCATATAACATGATTTACATGATTTACATTGTCAGCTGTTTACATATAATTCATGCCTGGTTTAGTTCCTACAGCTGAGAATTTGGATTCCGTTCAAATCATTTTTGATTGATGGGTTAACTTAGCTTTTCTGCAGTAGCATGATTGCCAGATTCAGCCAGTAAGCCTTCCTGAGGGAGGTACTTTCATGTTTAATTCAACGAAGTGGCTGAGCAGATGAACCAAGGAGCAGTATTAATGGTGTCTCTGGAGATGTCACATGTTGGATCTCTCTTTCTCAAAGAGAATAGTGTGAATAAAAGTGGCGTGGAAATGTGGATTGGAGGAAAATGAACAAAACTATTAGAAACAAGGAAAATAATTTCTCCTTACTCTTGTGATACCCTCCGGTTTGGAGTGGAATGGGACTGAAGACATTTTTAAGGATGTAATTGGTCCATATTTACCTGTTCTCCATAGTGCAATGGGCGGTATGGCAGACAGAGTGGCTGACAACGGGAAGTATTCTAGTAAAGTTAGGTGTTGAGGTGAAAGTCACCAAACCAGTATCAACCTCCTACCCCTCCTCACTCTTCTTCTCTTTGACCGTGCCTTCAGCTCCCCTCTCGACTCTCTTCCTCCTCCTCCTCGCTCCCTCCCTTCCCTCCCCTCACCCTGACCATTTCCCCCCTCCTCTTTCCCTCCCTTCCCTCCCCTCACCCTGACCATTTCCCCCCTGCTCGGGTCATGACCCAACTGTGCAGCGCCTTGGGACGTCCTCCTGACGTGAAAGGCGCTCTATAAATGGAATCTTGTTGTTGTTGTTGTTGTTACTGGAGAGGTTAAAGAGATAACTTGCTCCTGTATGTCCCCATTGTAGCTAGTACCTTTTTCTGGAGCAGTAAAATAGGGAAAGATTAAGATTTTGTTTTAAAAGTTGTTTATTTTTATGTGAAAGGCGCCATTTAAATAAAAATTGTTGGTATTATTATGATGATGAAACGGGTACCAGAGTTGATCGTCAAATCTCCTATCCATCTAGTTTTGGGAAGCGTTTTGTCAATTATTCACTAATACCACCAGGTGGCATATCTCTCATTTATAGGCCATATATAGTATTGGCTTAGGTGAAAAGCTTGATACTGTATACTTGTGCTACACAGAAAAATCAAATAGCAAATTGGTCAGGAGTTTTTCATTCCTTATTTATGGCTTCACTGTGGCTATGAGAATTCTAGCTCCTCATATGACTATCCGCTGCTTCTTTCTCATTTACAAGTTACCTCTGTGTTTTCTATACACCTCAGTCAGGGGCAGAGAGCATTTCTATTTATGGAAAGCAGTTTTTTTGAAAAACTCTTCAAGTACCTATCCAATTCCTGCAGCTCAGTGGTTAGAGCACTCGCCTCACAAGTTAGAGACCCTGGGTTCATTTTCCGGGCGGGGCGAAACATTTGACAAGTTTCCTTACTCCACATGGCTCGGTTTACCTAGTACTACCTACCATCGGTGGTCGGGCCTTCAGCCTCTCAGCCCCCAGGCTCTGGAACTCCATCCCCCAGTGCCTTCGCCTTGCTTCCTCCCTTTCCTCCTTCAAGGCCGGTCTCAAAACCTTTCTCTTTGACCGTGCCTTCAGCTCCCCCCTCGACTCTCTTCCCCCTCCTCGCTCCCTCCCTTCCCTCCCCTCACCCTGACCATTTCCCCCCTCCTCGCTCCCTCCCTTCCCTCCCCTCACCCTGACCATTTCCCCCCTGCTCGGGTCATGACCCAACTGTGCAGCGCCTTGGGACGTCCTCCTGACGTGAAAGACGCTTTATAAATGGAATCTTGTTGTTGTTGTTGTACTAAGTAGGAACCCGGTTGTTAATCGATTTGGCGGATGGCTTTTCTGGGGATAATAATTCCTTCAAAAAATAAATAGTAGTAATTTAGTCACTCATCTGCAACTGTTTGTGGGACACTGCTGTGCACAATTGGCTGTCACGTTTCGCCCACAAAATATACAGTCACTTCACCTTACAGTATATTCTGTGAAGGGCTTTGAGACGGCTCGAAGACGTGATAAGGTGCTATATCCAATGCAAAGATTATTTATAGTAGTATTTTAGTGTTTTGCATGCAAGTAAAGATGTTTTTAATAAAAAAAATCTTTTTACAGACCCATCCAACTCAGACCGCATTTCTGTCAAGTGTAGATCTTCATACTCATTGCTCATATCAGCTGATGTTGCCAGAGGCCATTGCAATTGTTTGTGCACCGAAACGCAATGAGTAAGTGATTGTTTCTGTAAATAAAATAACTTTAATTGCTTGAAAATCATAAATAAATACTGTATCGTCATTTATCTGAACCTGTAGAATTTGAAAATTATTTATTGATGAAATTAATTGAAGGGAATGAAAGTTAGAATACAGTAAAGGATTTTTAAAAATATAACTTGAGATCAGCCTGATCGGCTCCAATAGTTGTTTCCAGTCCTGAACCTACACGCTGTGCCAGATCTACATTTTACTTCTAACTGCATTCTTATCTAAGTATTGCTGATCACTTTTTGTTTGAATATTTTCCAGCACTGGATTTTTCCAACTATCGTTTGCAGGAATGCTGGAAGTGTCGTCCTGTAAAAAGAAAGGGTTTCACCCCCACATGAAGGATCCACCACTGTACCATGTACGTACCTAAGGACAATGTTATTAGAGATACATTTATGCTTTAACTTGAACATTTGTGCTGGTTGTTGAAGCTGGTGGGTAACTGAAGTTATAACGATGTAACATTTTCTTTCAGGAGAGGGTGGAATTGAATGAAATAAATGCCTTTTTTTTAGTAATGGAACAAGGTTGGAATTTTTTTTAACAAAATGTGAAGCTAAGCACATGGCATGATACAAAAATGGGCTGCAAGCTAAATATACAAATGTTAGTTTTCGTTGGTGCATATTGCATGTTATCCTAAGCAGTCTGATTTGTCTAATATTCATAAATCATCCTAACAAACGATGCTTGTATGTGATCCTTATTCAAGTGATATTCACATAATTTCAGACAAACATTTAGTCCTTTCTCTGACTGGGATATTAAACTTTCAGATCTATTGTATCGGGAGACTTTAGGCCGTATGAGCTTAAAGTTGTTGTGGGATACCATTGAATGTGGTGTGTGGTTAAGAGATTGGAATGGTGCTCACAAATCACCTAAATAATACTTTATAAGATCCTGCAAGAAGGTTTGAAGTAATGTGAGACTTAAAGGAATTTGAAAACAAATATAGTAGGAAGAAGCTTACTAATAGCTTGCTCTGTTTAATATTGTGTGCATGCACAAATAGAATAAATTTCTATGTGAGACTTATGAATATTGATTCTCTTTCAGACCTGCAGTCACCTAATTAGAAAAGATATGAATACAATCATCTCCGACATGAGGTGACGACATGAGATAACTACAAGCATGAAATCTTAGAAACGTATTACATGTATTGTAAGAACAAGCAATATGTTGCTTTCAAGATTTTATGACCAATTTTACCCAAATGGACTATCAGGTTAAATAAAATATGCAGATTATTCAATATTTCTTTGGAAAAACTACCGAGTATTTCCCAAGTACAATGAGAACTAACAGTAGCCGATTGTCCTGATTCTGAAGTTGACATAAGCGACCCCAACCTTCAAAAACAAGCCCAGAAGGTCTGCTCCTTGCTGTGTTATGCCCATTTCGATTCTTTTTACATTCTGACGCACAACTTAGCAATGGTTAATGCTCTACAAAAATGACTGAAGATTGATACGTTCACGGTAGGACATTCCTAGCTTAGTAAATTTGTTTGGATCAGAAGACTACATGTTGTATAGGAGCACTTGAACAAAACCAGCTTCTGTACCATCCTCACTTGTCTAGCACGGTGTTGCAGATGAATGTATGAATAACTTCTAGCCCTGACCTTAACATGATTTTATAACTCTCCACCTGAATTTATCATCTGACATGTCTGTTATCGTTAACTACTAACTGGGAATACTATCACCAGATTGGCGTCTAAAATGTTGTGATGAGAATAAGGAATCATTACATTTCTCACCAACTTGTGGAAACTGCCCTGGAAGAAGATTGTGTTGAAGCAAAGCTCCTGCTGGACCAGTGTGACGTACTTCCATTTGTTGGAAGGAGTCTCCATTTGCGTGACTTGAAATGCTTATTAAGAAAGAGTGTGGTATAGACTCCAGAGAGTAGCATTTTTAAATTGACTGTTACCTTAAGTAGAGTTTGAAAATATACTGAAGTGCCAGCTGACCTCCGCAGAGCTGCAAAGAGTATGTGTGTGTTTTATTTTTACTGACTAATATAGACCCAGACATTCCCTTCCCTTCCCCTCCCACCCACCCCCCGCCCCCACCCCACACACACACACAGATTAGGGCAGATCTGTATTTCAAGAGTTGGAACACACTTCCAGCAGCAGTCTTTGCTATTTGCCTGAAAAAGGATAAACTGGGCAGGATTCTAACACTAGTTTGAACCATGTCCAGTATTAATTGAATGGTTTTCTACTGCTATTGCAGTCTTATAAGTAAAATCCAAATTTGTGAAGGGTATTTTAGAAAAATGTGGACATTAAAAAATAAATATAATAAATCCAAAGCTGAATGTTTTTGAACCAATTTAAAATGAAAGAATCTGCATCTGCCATCAGTACCAATATCCTCAAATAAATAAAATCAACATTGTTTAAATGTTGCCTGGATTGTTTTGTGCTCTATAAATTTGTCACAAATCATCAAATGTTTTTCATACTTGAATATACAATTACACTGTCAGCAATGTCAAAGGGTTAAACACAAAACCATTGAGTGACACTGAATGAGTTTGTTTATTGAATTTGAAGGTTATGATGAGACATATAAATTAACATCAATTCGGAGTCCTGTAGCTCAGTGGTTAGAGCACTCGCTTTGCAAGTGAGAGACCTGAGTTCAATTCCAGGCAGGGCGAAACCTTGGGCAAGTTTCCTTACTCCACACGCCTAATAATAATCCCTTCAAAAACCAAAAACAATAATTAATTGGTCATTTTCAATCTACGACTGTTTGTGGGACATTGCTGTGCGCAATTGGCTGCCGCGTTCGCCCACAAATATACAGTCAATTCACTTTGCAGTATGTTCTGTGAAGCGCTTTGGGACGTCCTCCCGACGTGAAAAGCGCTATATCAAATGCAAGGATTATTATTATTATTATTATTATCATAGTACGAAAAGCTTCCTCCATACCAATTCTGTCATTTACCTTTGCTGTTGAAGAGACCTTGATGATACTATCCGTACAAATGGAGCTATGCCATACTTAGATGTGCTAACTTGGGTTTTCTGAGATTTTACTGCTTTTGATTTAGTTATTGAGTGGAGTCTTGTAGCTTAATGGTTAGAGCACTCACCTCACAAGTGAGAGGACCTGGGTTCGATTCCTGGACGGTGAAATGTTGGGCAAGTTTCCTTACTCCACGTGACTGTTTCCCACCAAAAGAGTCCTAGTAGGAATTCAGTTGTTAGTCAATTGGCGGATTGCTTTTCCAGGGGTAAGGATCCCTAATTTAAAAAAAATTGGTCACTCAGTCCACAATAGTTTGTGGGACACTGCTGTGCACAATTGGCTGCTGCGTTTTGCCCACAAAATGTACAATCAATTCACTTTAAATTCTGTAAAGCATTTTGAGACATCTCAATAATGTGATGAGGCGCTAAATCAAATGCAAGGATTATTATTTGTTATTTCCCTTTTTTAATCAATATTATCCCTTTTATTCTTATCTTGGCTCCCAACAACAGCTCCTTTTCTCATCAGAACAGAGAGCAAGCAGCCACTTGTTGTCCTGCACTATATTTTTGTACAAATGAATGTATCACTTGCTTTGCCAAAACAAAGAATAACTGTGACAACATGAAGTCTTGTTGGCACATTACAGGGCCTGTCATGAGCAGTTTCTTTTGTTTTGACCTGTCATTGTCAATGGAGGCCTTGATAACTGAAATAATCATGTTGGGAGTTGTTTTCTGAATTGTTTGGAAATGAAAAAGATGAACTACAAATCCATTGACTGCTCTCATACATTTATATGAGCTGCTGCCATTCAGCTGTAACAAGTGATATCAAAACAACAAAATTACATTTGTAAACCGCCTTTCACGTTGGGACGACATCGCAAGATGCTGAACAGTCGGGGATCAGGACCAGAGCGTGGTGGGGCAGGGTTGGGATGCGGGAGGGTAGAGAGTTAGGAGGGTGGCTGAAGGTCGAAAAGGAAGGTCTTGAGTCGTGCCTTGAAGGAGGCAAGGGAGGGAGCAACGTAAAGGGATTGTGGGATAGAGTTCCAAAGGTGGGGGCAGAGAGGCTGGTAGGGTGGGTTGGACGGGAGACATGGAGCCTGCTGAATGGAAGGAGCAGACGGGTTGATAGGGTGTTAGCAGGTCAGAGAGGTAGGAGGAGGCAAGGCCGTGGAGGTCCTTGAAAGTGAGGATAAGGTTTTTGAATTCTATCCTCAGAGGGATGGGGAGCCGGGCGAAGTTGCGGGTGACAGGGTCATGAAGCCTGGTGCGGGAGAGGACATGAGCTGCAGAGTTCTGGATGATCTGCAGCGTGTGGAGGGAGTTGTTGGGGAGGCCGTCAAAGAGGGAGTTTCCATAGTCGAGCCTTGAGGTGATGAATGAGTGTATGAGGTTGTTTGCCAATAATAACTTAAAAGGGTTATTATGCCATGTTCATCAAAGATGTGCGAGTTTTTAAACTAGATATGTATAACCAGAGAATCCACAGTATTTAAACTGGCTAAACTACAAATGTCTCACAATGGGTCAAAGATGTATAAAATGTTAACTTTGGAAAGTGATTTCAAAGGGTTCTTTGGATTAATAGTCTGTTTTTTTCCTTCCAGTAGATTGCAAAATGTATCTCATCAAAATATATAATTTGTCACACGATGAAATAAACGTTTAATATTTTAAGTTGATTATATACATAGTTCATATTTGAAATAAGCACTTAGTCATGTGCTGGGTTTTTCCTACACTAGTTAAAAAGGGAACTGAGAGGATTAGTCTTAAGTGAACGCACAACAGTCACTGAAGGGCAATCACATCATGCTCTATCCCCCAGTGCCTTTGCCTTGCTTCCTCCCTTTCCTCCTTCAAGGCCGGTCTCAAGACCTTTCTCTTTGACCGAGCCTTCAGCTCCCCTCTCGACTCTCTACCCCCTCCTCGCTCCTTCCCTCCCCTCACCCTGACCATTTCCCCCCTGCTCGGGTCCTGACCCAACTGTACAGCGCCTTGGGATGTCCTCCCGACGTGAAAGGCGCTCTATAAATGGAATCTTGTTGTTGTTGTTGATGCGTACATGTTGAAGAACTAAAGTTGGCACTGAAAATAGGATCAATGGTCAAGAGAGAGGCCCTTTGACCCATTTGATCTCTTCCTTTCCAGCATACTCATCCAACTGTCTTCCCACTACAGCATTAAGCTATTTCCTTAATGAGTTTGGCTTCCTGCTAATCCGTTCTAATTGTTAATTATCTTCTGGGGAAAGGATACTTACTGGTCTCCATCCTGACATTTCTTTCCTGAAAATGCGTTTTTGATGCTTTGACCTATCTGAAAGTATTGTTTTCAGTTTGCTTTCTCAATCTCATTTAGCATCATATATGCCTCTATAAGATGGCGTCTGAGATGTCTCATAGCTTATCCTTCTATTATCGCTCTCCTCTTCATTATGGTCAGGGCAATATTCATATGTAAGTGGTCTTGTATGGCACATATATTATTGTTCTGGTTTAGTTTATTATTTCCATGGTGTTCTTTGTGTATCTAATTTAATTAACTTGGTCATTCACCAACCACAGGAATTCAATCATGTAATGTCAATATGTGAAATGTCAGACAAAAATAACTAGAAAAGATGAGCTAGTAAAAATTGAATTGCAGGACTAAATTAAATGAAGAATTAAGTTAATAATGTTTAAAATTACCATAGATATTTTTAAAAAATCGTTGGGATGGATTTGAATTTAATAAAGACAGTATTGTGAATTAATAAAAACTCAAGGAATCTGAAACCGTAGTACGAGACATTAATAATTCAGTGTTTAGTGTTAAGACAGTTAACTTAAATAGTGTGTTTAACTATTGCTTTGCTAAAATACAAGAACAGGAGTCACAAGTACATGAGAGGCAATTGTGAAAAGACTGGCAGCACATTCTTACTTTATTTTAAAAAATCCCATTCATTCAGATAAAGCTACAAGAAATCCCAAGTGACAGAGCAATGGAATGAAACAGTAGAAAGTATATTTCTTTAATTGCACATTCACAGTTTTCTTTGCAAAAAAAGAAACAAAGTCGACAAGAGACAACAGTTTAAAAGCATTTGCGGTGTACAATAGATGGACCGGCTTCATCATACTCCGGCTTACTAATCCACATCTGCTGGAAGGTGGACAGAGAGGCCAAGATGGAGCCACCGATCCAGACAGAGTATTTACGTTCAGGAGGAGCAATGATCTGCCAGAGAGGGAAAAAATGGTACCCAAATTATTTCAACATAATTTCTTCATGTGGTCTAGCATTTAAAAGTTAATAGACTGGTACATGCTTAATTATGCATGGTTCAAAGAGGTGAGTTTCAGTTATTCTGTAGTTTTCTTTTAATATCCTTGTGTTTAGCTCATTCCATAATCCTCCCTATGGAACAAACCTTCCTTGACTGAGAAGATAGGCAAGAGACTCATTCTTAAGCCTCTGCAGATGTTGTTTATAAGAGCCCAAGTTCTATTCTGCGCACAAGACAATGGTTTTAAACAAGAGTTGAGTGCTCCACAGCTGAAGTAAGGAAGGGCTAGAGCTCAGAAGTGGTACTTGCATGCTTTCTGTCAGAATCTACTGAATAATGTGGCCTGGATACTGAATTTGTTTGGACTTGTAGCATAGTTCTAAACTCTTAATGAAATGCATTTACTCCCTGAGTTTTTCCCCAGATAAAATCTCTTATAACATGCAAATCCAAATGAAAGGTTATAATAATCCTTGCATTTGATATAGGTCCTTATCACATCGTTGAGACCTCTTAAAGAATATACTGTGATAATACAGCGTAATATCAGAGCTAATATCAGCTATTTGTCAGCCTGGCTCAGCTAATCAGAAGATCATAGGTTCAAGACCCACGTCAGGACTTGGAATCCATTAGAGTCCATGATGGCACTATGTGGTGTTGGGGGTTTGCTGCATTGCTGGAGGTACCTGTTCAGGTGGACATTAAAGTTCCCACGGCACTAGTCGAAAAATGAAGGGAGTTTCTTCCAGTGTCCCAGCCAATAATCCCCCAAATAAAGATGTTTATTTATTTCATGGCTGTTTGTGGGACATTGCTGCGCACAAATTGGCTGCCACATTGCACCCACACTGTGAAGTGCTTTGAGGCTTATGTGATAAGGTACTGTATCAAAGTATGGGATTATTATTGTTTGACTTAAGTCATATCTTTCTCACACCAATTTAACACATAATAATAATAATCCTTGCATTTAATTTAGCGCTCTTCATATCTTCTAGACGTCTCCAAGTGCTTCACAGAATAAACTGCAAGTGAATTGACTGTATATTTGTGGGCGAACCATGGCAGCCAATTGCGCACAGAAGTGTCCCACAAACAGTCGTGGATTGAAGTGACCAATTTATTATTGTTTTTTTTCCTTGAGGGATTATTATCAGGTGTGTGAAGTAAGAAAACTTGCCCAAGGTTTCGCCCTGCCAGGAATCAATGACTCAAGAAGCTAAATGTAGCACCTAATCTACGCAATCAGGTGGATAATTAAAATGATTCATTTTTGGTGAATGTGGATGAGGGAGAAATCTAAGCTTCAAAATAGCGCTAAATAATTTTTACAGTAGCCTGAAGCCACTATAACCATCAGATGGGATGTATTTAGGATGGCCCTTCAACAGTGCAGCCACATTATTGCTAATGCACAAGGGTGCCACTCTGGATCAAATTGCAATGTAGGCTCGAATATAAAACCTTTGAAGTTTCATGTGATAATCAGAATAATTATTTTTTTGACAATATAAATACAATCTTTTTGTTCAGGTTATTTACTCACCTTGATTTTCATGGTGCTGGGGGCTAATGCAGTGATTTCCTTCTGCATGCGATCAGCAATGCCAGGGTACATAGTGGTACCACCAGACAGTACATTATTGGCGTACAAATCCTTTCTGATGTCAATATCGCACTTCATAATACTATTATATGTGGTCTCATGGATACCTGCTGACTCCATTCCTGTGGATCAGATTTCAAATAAATCAATGGAGGGTGTGAAATTTAGGCAAATGGAGAATTTCTTTAGAGCATGTTGTGTAGAGTAGCATTGTAAATAAGAAGATGTAATCAATTAATGAACAACATGTATGTTCTGAGATCTGGATTTGTAAACCAGAATTAATAATCAGAGACTGCTTTGGTGATGCTAAAACAACTTCACTAATACTTAAACTCATGTCTCTATTTTTTTTTAAAATGTGTCCATGAATGTTGAATATTTGTTCTTGTTAAAGTTTCATTTTTGTGAAAGTGCAAAAAAACAGCAGTGCAGTGAGCAATAATGGCAAAAAGTCTGATTATAAATGGTCTCTACGTTTGTTGTGGAAGGTGTCCACATGTAACTAAATCAACATTGTCATCTTAAGAATTACACTTCTTCTTGCTACTTTTAAACATAGCATTAATCCCACCCACTCAGTTGAGATGCTATAATTAATTGTAGCAGTACAAGTATTAATATCACATGCAATAATTATGGGGCACATTAATATTAAAAGAATTAAAATTTGCTGCTGCTTCTAATAAGGCAATGCAAAACTCACCAATAAAGGATGGCTGGAAAAGAGTCTCTGGGCAGCGGAAGCGCTCATTGCCTATGGTGATAACCTGACCATCAGGCAGCTCATAGCTTTTCTCCAAAGAGGAGGAGGATGCAGCTGTTGCCATCTCATTTTCGAAGTCAAGAGCCACGTAACACAACTTTTCCTTAATGTCACGTACAATTTCACGTTCAGCTGTGGAGTGAAAGTAAATAGGGCTTCAGGAGTGAAATATCCAATCTTTGTCTTACTCATTAATTCATTGATATGAATTTGTAGCTCCATAGAAATCACCACAAACACTTTAATTCTGTTACCTAGAGAAGAGGTTTTGCTATTAAATCCCCAAATCTTAATGTTGAAGCATATTCAAATTGGAACAATAACTTAATGTGGTTAATATTTACTAGGATAAAATAAGCCTGCATTCTATCTGTCTTGCCTGCTCGCCTTTAAAGCCTGTCTTAATCCCTCCCTTTTTGTTCGTGCTTTTGGTTACCTTATTGGCCAGCTTTGGTTACAAATACCTCCTAATGTGATAACATTACATTATTAGGTTAATATTGCACAGCATGATATTTCATTAATTGGGGGCAATTCTACCCAATAGGATTTTGGATTGTGAACATGTTGACCATTGCAAGTCTGGTTTGCTTTACTAGGGATCTGCCTTAACTTATCAAGATTGTCTCTTAAACGTTAATTAAGTCACAAGGAAACTTTGCTGGCCTTTTCTGGGAGTTTTTTTTAAAGGTATGATGCTCACTTTCTTAAACTTGAAAGGATGAAGGGCTGAGTTGAACCCATTGGTATTCAATTCTCACACAACTAAGCAAGATACTACATTAATCTTTAAACCCTTCTCCCTTGATATTTTTTGTGAAAGTGAGAATGAATAACGATAGAACCTAATACTGTAGGTACCTTCTGAAAGTAACACGGGAACAGACGCACAAAGTCACTGGGAAGCATCCTATTCATACCTGTGGTGACAAAAGAATAGCCACGTTCAGTAAGGATTTTCATGAGGTAGTCAGTGAGATCACGACCAGCCAGATCCAGACGCATAATAGCGTGGGGCAAGGCATAGCCTTCATAGATTGGCACATTGTGGGTGACACCATCTCCAGAGTCCAGCACAATACCTAGAGATAGACATATCCATTTGATCAGGAATGCACAGGACATCATTTCAGTTAATTGAAAATATAATTCATGTCAATCCCGCAGCTGCACAGCTTTAACTTACCAGTTGTACGGCCTGATGCATAAAGAGACAGGACGGCCTGGATAGCAACATACATAGCTGGCACATTGAAGGTCTCGAACATGATCTGAAAGTGATCACATTCAGTTAAGCATCATAGAAACTATAAATTGGCAAAGCTCCAATAATTATTTTAATTATTAAAGAATGTTCAAGACTATCTTTTGTGAAGGGCATTATATAAGTGCAAGTTGTTACTTATTGCGACCTTAAAATACACAGTCAATTAATTTTACAGTAAAGCCTGTGAAGCGCTTTGAGACATCTCAATGATGTGATAAACCTATCAAATACAAGGATTATTACCATTATTATTTCCCACTTGCACAGCTAGTTGTCTATTAGGTCCAATGGATATATTTGGAAATTGGTAGGTCTCGTAATATAAACCACATCATTGTTTTAATATAATGCCATGATTTATCGAAATAGCCAAGTATCAGAGTTAAAAGAATAGGATCATGTTGCCTAAAGGTTTAATGACAAGGCAGTGACTTGGCATGCAGTACCTGGGTCATCTTTTCACGGTTAGCTTTGGGGTTTAGTGGAGCCTCAGTCAGCAGAGTTGGATGTTCTTCTGGAGCTACACGAAGCTCATTATAGAAAGTGTGGTGCCAGATCTAGAAGAAAAAAGGTTTCAAAAATAAGTCGTCAAGATACGAAAGTATTCTATGCTTGTTCAGCTTAATTGGTACCAGGAATATAGATGATGATTGTCTTATCTGAAGCAGAATAATATAAATGTTTTCTCACCTTTTCCATATCATCCCAATTTGTTATGATGCCATGTTCAATGGGGTATTTCAGGGTTAAGATACCTCTCTTACTTTGAGCTTCATCGCCTACATAGCTGTCTTTCTGACCCATACCAACCATAACACCCTATAGGGTTAAACAGCAGAGATAGAATAAGTACACATCGAACATAATAATGAAACTGGCAGTAGGTGGAGTTTCTAAACATTCTGACCATTTATAAAACATATGGATATTATTTGTACACTGTCTCTTTATAAAGGCTATAATTGATGTAATAAAATGGAACATGTTTACTAGTGATGTTGGTTACTGTAGCAAAATCGCATACCTTTTTTATTTATTTATAGTTACGTTCTGATCCTATTCTTCAACATCTCAGTTTTTTGAATGTACAGTGCGATGATTTGTTCTTCTCATATCAAACCTTGACATTAGGATTGCAATGTTGTTTGAGGCACTAAGTCCCAGTATTCTTGGTTGACATGTAGTAACAGCCCAGAAACATTGTTTTAAGAAAAACATACTATGTTTTATAGATGCTTCTGACAGCTGTTTCTCACTAAGACACTGTAAAAGTTGGTCGGTTACTGACCTGGTGACGAGGGCGTCCAACGATGGAAGGGAAGACGGCACGAGGTGCATCATCCCCGGCAAAGCCAGCCTTACACAATCCAGAGCCATTATCACAAACCAGTGCCGTGGTCTCTTCCTCGTCGCACATGTTCAATCCGTTCGAGTCTAATCAAGTAAAGAAGAGGCTCCATCACAATGCTGGGCAGATAATACAGCAGAGCAAGGGACGTATATAAATTTAAAATCATAATATGGTGTGTAATCCCTGAGTAGATCAGAAATTAAGATGCTTGCTTATATGGTAGTAAACTCTATAGCCCACAGGGGTAGATACCATAATTGGATGATAACCTTCTGAACAAACTTGAACTTGTTAATAATGCACTTGTATCAGGTCTGCAAGGCATTCTAACTTGGACCTGACTGTGTGTACATCTCTTTGTGAACTATAGCATTTACTTTGGTGATATCTGTAATGTTTGTGCAATTTGTCCAAATGCACTACATTCCACCTAAATGTGTATTCCACTGAAGTATCTGTAAACACTGTAGTATCAGAATCCAATTAAACTAATCTTGAAATGCACACGCACAGTTGCTCTTTAACTTTATTAAAGTAGCCAGTGAATCCCAGCTGCGTTACAGGAAATCCAAATAATTCATCTCTCCTTGAATGAATGTTTCCTAATTAGGAAATAGCCTGCTACACTATAAAAATTCTTTCAAGTATGTTTTTTGGTATGCGGTTCCAAGTCACTCCTGTCCATCCTCTGAATCAACTTTGGGTCTGTAATGCCAAGAATGGCCAGAGAGGCATTCGAAGGGATGGCTTACATGGTTAGAAATACAGAAAGAACCATATTTAGTAATAACCCTTCAAATCCACAACACTGAGAAACCACAGCCTAATATGCACGTAGGAAGGATCGTGCCAAAATGTGATGTGCAGCTAAACAGTGGTACTTTGCCAGAATGTTGTCCTTCTCCTCTGGTGTATTTCATATTGGTCTAAACAACTGGAAAATAAAAATTGTACTTAAAACTGCATATTAACTGTGTATAAACACCAAAACTGAGGAACTAAAGTACATGGCTGCCACCCAGAAGTCCAAAGGCAACCAGACACCTGTACATCATTCATACTACAATCACTTTAATTAATCTGTACTTTAGCCGATGCTGTTTGACATTGCAGCCAAATAAATCTGTTTTCTCTTCCAAACTGCAACACGGATTCAAACATTTTCTGTTGATGAAAAATCTCTCGCTTAAACCCTTTTTCAGGTGAGGCAAATTGCAAAGGCGCCCTTTGCATCCCACTCTCAATCTTGCCCTTGACATATTTAAGGTCATGTTCAAAGAGTATTTTCCCAGTAACCATCAAACTAAATTCCCATCACTCATGGGCAATGAAACACAAAGTAGGTTTTCTCTCACCTCTCTCACACTGCCTCAAATCTCTGATCACACCTGCAGATCCATTACCTGGGTTCAATGAACAGTATAATGCAATGCCCCTGACATGAGCATATCATCCTGAAGTGCACACAGCCTCAGCCTCAAGTGATTATCCCTTTACATTAAAACTGTTACTTTACTACGTTACTTGATAGAAACCTGTGCAAGGCTTCGTTTAGAAACACATTACTTTCGCCAATGAGTGATAATTGCAAATCCCCCCCATCTGCTCTCCTGCAGTAACTCAACACTTCAGAGCAAAGTAGAAGAATGCAGTTATTCTAAACTTTTGAGTAATTCGTTAAAAGTCATGCGCCAAGTGTTGCTTTAACCCTCGATGGCACTCACCCTGTCTGTGCTCTGCCGGGTTCCTCACTGTGGGAGAGTGCACTCCTCCTCTCTGAGTCGTTGAGTTTTATAGCCCCTCGGACTCGTGACCCTCTGCTTCCACCCACACCAGCCCCAAAAAAGGATCAGACCCAGAGCTGGGCGACTTGTATTCCTTTTGCACGGCCATATACGGTTGTTACACTAAAGCTCTTGTCTCGGTGTCCAAGCTCTTTGGTTTCTTTGTAGTGCATTCCACTGTGTGTGAGGCTCATCAACTGAAGGAGTTTAACAACGTGGAACATAAATATTGGAGGATCTGAAGTTGGTGGTGGGGGGAGAAAGCAGCTGTAACCAAACGCTGACATAAAACTGACAGGTTGCATTTAGCAATGCCTGAGAATTCTTGAAATAGTAGCAGGCAGAAACAAATCGGTGCAAATAGGGTAAAGTAATAATATTAGATAATGCATGTGAACATACATCACAGAGGTGAACTGCATCCTTCTGGGTTGGTATGATGGTTATATGTTATTTGGATGCCACAGAGAATTAAAAAGTATGGGGCGGGGTAGGGTTTGCTTGGTTAATAATACGGTCAATAATATGGGCAATGGTCCAATGTTAGAAAAGAGAGCTCGACCAGGCTCTCTTAGTGCTTATGGTTGACAGTTGCCACAATAATAACCATATAGCAACAACAACAACAAAATTACATTTGTATAGCGCCTTTCACATCAGGAGGACGTGCTGGACAGAATCTTAAATAGGCTGACCCATTGGGAATCTTTTGTCAGCTTTGCTTTTGCTTCAAGTTTGACCTTGAAACAGCTTGATATCAAACCGTATCAACTAAATTAATCCAAAGGTGGTTTTATTAACTCACCCAAATTCTTGAAAAAAATTGCTTCTGATGTAACATGCAAGGCTCATCACACCCATTTCTCAGTTCTCTGGATGCCATTGCAGGTGTTAACTCCTTTCCCTCCACATTGAGCAGTGCAAGGATACAAAGCAGTCTATTCTTAATCCTCTGGTTTCTTCTCTGGTACCATACTGCAGTATAATATTGGAGTAGAATGAGAACATAAAACATCAGCATCATGGCATGCAAAAGGTAAAAACATCACAAGTATAAAACCTGATGAGTTGTGAATTGCTAACATGTTCAATTTTATAATGAGTATATTTCAGGGTAATTATATATCCACAATCAGTGGTCATGTTTTAAGTCACTATATCCCTATCTCCTGCAACTTCCTTCCAAAAACAATGAGACATTAAACTGACGTCTTGCCTGCCTGCTCAAATGGTCATTAAAGAGCTCATGGTCTTATCTGAAAAGTGAAGGGAATTTCTTTTGCTGTTCTGGCTAACAATTCCCCCAGATTAACCTTAATCTCATGTTGGTCTGTGAAACATTGTTGTGTTCAAATAGGCTGGCATGTTAGACTACAAAATGTACAACTACTATACAGTAGATCACGTGGAGCACTCTGAGATGTTCTCCTGACATGAAAGGCATTACATCAATTACCAAAAATCTTTAAAAGTATTTGCCTGCCTGATTTTTGACACTATTTATTGAGCACATTGAGGCATTCTTTTATATGAACGGTTTTGTATGAATGCTTGTTGTTGCAATAATCATTTGAATGCATTGCTCAGTAATATCTAATATCAAGATTCAAAGGTAAATCGAAGTGAACCACAATGGATGCTTCACTATCTTTTCTACAGTAATACCAGTGGAAGAATTATCCTCTGGTGCTCATTGAAGGCCAAAAGTGGTTTCTCAGCAGTGACTAGCTTCGTGTGGTTGATTTTTTGAATATACTTGCTTTGACAAAGTGCAATTTACATGATTGGGAAACTAAATTTCCCTGCAGTTCCAATGACCCAAATAACCTAGGAGCTGACATTAAAGAGCTCAGATAATATCTTCAAAGAAGCTTGATCAGTAGAGATGATCAGGAAAAAAAAGTTTGTTTTGAGTTTATGCTCCAAGGCATCAGAAAATATCACAACTTCGGACCATACTTGTGCAGAGAAGTTGACATACAAACACAGAAATGTTGCTGTGATTGTAACAGGATAAACCAGACCTTGAAAGCTTATCTCCACAAAATGAAGCACTACCCTATTGAATGCTAAACTCTGGAAGTAAAGGAGGTGTTTTCTATATAGTGAGTTAATTGCATGTTTGTTGTGAGTATAAACAAATGTTAAGAAACAAGGCAGATCTCAACTTACACAAGCTGGCCAAGAGAAAAGAAAACAGTTACAACAATTCCAGAACAAATAATAATCAATTTAAAAACTACCTTAGATTAGGCAATAATCATGATAATCTAGAGAATGGTTTCTCTACATTTAGAAGTCTTAAAATAATCTCCGCAAAGACCAACAACTGAAGTTGGTTGTACAATTCCTAGAAAAGCTGAAAGAGCAACCTTGCTCCACCCAATTCTAGCAGCCAATAAATCACATGTCAGCAATAACCTTATATGGATGGTTAGTCAAGGATAGTGTAAATCCCCTCCTGGTTTAGTCCTAGATATGTGTTTCAGCAAGATTATCTTTTTAAAAAAATACAATGCCTGTTACACGCTAAAAATTGCTTGACTTATGAAGTAACAGCTGATTTTGTTGGAGGAGCTTTAAAGCCACACCTGGTCCTACTTCATCTTGTGCATGTCCCTATCTGGCAAGAGATTACCATCTGCAGAACAAACTTTGTAATGTCTGCTATCCCATTTTGGGTAAAACAAACTACTGTTTCCGTACTCAGCAGAAACAGACTCAAACATTTAGCAGCCTATAGACTACCAGTAATTAGTAAAACATTTCCCTGTAAGGAATAATGCAGAACAGTGCAGCACAATGTGCCATGGCCAGATTGAATCAGAGTCAGTCTGCTGGGCTCCATCAGAGGGAGTTCAAGTGTTTATGTGGACATTATTGGACACTGTCTACACAATCTTCTTTCATTTACACCTACCCGTAAGTGGCCCCAAGTCTCTATAAATCAATTAAATGTGCATCATCTAGTCAGTTATTGATAACATAAAATAAATTTATTTTTTAAAGTGTTGCAGTGGGTCAATATTTGCAAACACACATTTTCAGGATATGGTTAGAATATGCAGAGTGCTTGGAACACAATAGCCATTTTCTAAGTAATCTAGTCATTTGCTTTCAAGTTACGTAGTAAAATCCCTAACAATCCTCAAATTTAACGGTCTCCGCCCTAGGGTCTGTTAAACAGTAGAAATATTAATGATTTAATCGTTCCCTTAAACCACCCTTTTAAATCAGAATAGCCTAAAATCAATCTTTAGCCTTTAAGATTTTATCCTGTCAAACTTTTAAATGTTCCTGAGTTGTATAGTATTACTGTAACATGGATACTGTTATTAAGAATACGGTGCCCAGTTCAACAACACCCTTCCTAAATAAATGAGTGAGTTTTGTTCTAGAGTATAGTTCTCGGCTGAAAGGCCACATTATGCATCATATAAGGAATGTATCAGTGCCAGTATTTATGACTTAATCTGTAAACAAAATCCAAGGAATTAAAATCATTTCTTACATTCTCTTCCTTATTTAGCCATCAAAGTGCAAAGAATGTACAGGCACAGGAACTCAGAAGAGTTGCACAATTCAGTTATATGCAGACAGCTATCTTGAAAAGTCTCTGTGTATATCAGCATTTTAGATGGTTACACTCTCACAATGTCGAAGCCTGAGTGAGAAAGTTACCTAAATTGGAAGAAGATGAGGCAGTTACTGTACCATAGAGCAATAATAATTATATAGTTTCAATGTTCTACTGAAGTGAGACAAAATTAAAACTTCTGTTTATCCATGACTTGAGACTTCAATAGAATCTCCACCAAAAATATTCATGTGTGTACAGTGAAATTTTCCATAAATATTCATGTGGGTACTTGGACATTATGTGAACTATTATGAAAAGCTCCAGGCTAACTGACGCACAGCACAGTCTAATATCTGTTACCAAACACTAATGCATCACTTTACAGCAAGAATAAAACAAGAAATGTTACTTGATAACAGCAAGTGCTTGCTTTGGAAAAATGTATTACAATTACTGCTATTAAATGAAATATTTAACAAATATTTATTTTTTTCAATATAAAAAATAAATTCTTGTGAAATTGCAGAATGATTATTTTCTTGTAGGCCAAAACCCATTTTGTATGGATTTTGTAAAGAAAAATCATATTTCTTCTCAATTTTATATATAACTTTGTTTCGTCCAAATGTGGAGGAACACATTACAGATAATAAAACAATTACTCAACACTTTAGTAGTTCATCTTACTCATTACAAAGAGCTTCATAGTGAGTGAATACTTCCAGTACACAGTGAACCATCATACCCGAATATTTTGCATTTTTAGCTTTGCTAAAGAAATATCTCTCATCTTCTAAATGTTTCTCACCATCTGTTCAAATATGCATTGGGTTAATCCTTTGGTCCATTTGAATGTCTCTGAGGTTTGTCATTTGGCCACCAGGTTGGTCTTATCAACAAAATGTTAGATTACACAAATCCTTCTCTGTATAATTAAAACATTGGTGTATAAATAGTGTGAACAGCGAGACAATATTTCTATCAATTATTTTTTGCCAGCAGCGCATTTTTTCAGAGGATTTGACAGACCAAATGCACTTCTGAAATACAATACAAATTTATGTTTATATAGCGCCTTTCATGTCGGGAGAACCTTCAGAGGCGCAGTCCAGATTTTGGGCCTGAGCTGGGGGTGGGGAGAGAGGGAGGAAAGTTGAAAATCTTGAAAGAAATGAGGGAAGGGCCAAGCTGAAGAGACTGGACACACTTCTAGAGAATGGGGGCAGATATTCTGAAAGCTTGATCGCCAATGGTGGGACAGGGACAATGAAGCAGAGCAGTGCTCTCTGAGCAGAGGGAGTTTAATAAAGCAATCAAACCATGGCTCTGCAATAAATTTAACATGAAAATACATTGTTTAATACCATAAACTGATCACATTTCGTACTATTCTGTTCCTTGTATACAGAAGTGAAAGTATTCTCGATGTCTCGAAAGAGTTTGGAAAGGGCATATTGCACATTAAATCCAAACACTGCTAGGAGTTAAATTAATTTTGCTTTCACTTCCTAAAGCTTGTCGAGTAATGCCCCAGAAAAGCTCTGCTGCACTCACTTTCACCCACTCCTAGAAAATAGCCATAAATTGGTAGGAGTTGATCTGTGACATGGATTATAGCTCTCTTAGATATGTAGAATTAAATATATGTAATTCATCATTACAAGGGAAGAAACGTCTGGGCGATAATATTTGTTCAATATTTATTCAAAGTACTCTCCCCTCTCTATCAGAAACGAATATAGTTATAAAATACCTTTAATAGCTCTTGTAAAATGTCCTTATTTTTTAAAATGGCAGAGACTTTGGAGTGGTCTCTACCTCTCTTAACCTATGTGGATGACATATGGTACCGAGAAGCCCCACATAGAGCAGCTCCCCATCCCCCCTGGCTTTGCTCCGGGATCCGTTACTGTAAAGCGCTCTGAGATGTCATCCGGCGTGGAAGGCGCTATATAAATCCAAGTTGTTGTTGTTGTTGTCAGTGCTTCAGTCTAACCTAAATGTACAGTAGGTTTCAAATACATTTACATTAAAATTTTTATCCCTAGATCAGCAGAGGGGCTGGTTTGTCCCTTCTATAGACAAACTAACAAATTACTGTATATTTTTCAAAATAACTTATTTCTATTTTCTGGGCCTGGGCGAGAGGGTCGGTGCAGCAGAGCTTTTCAGGGTTCATTAGTGGTCAAGCTTTAGGAAACAAAAGCAAAATTAATTTAACTCTGTAGTGGACTTGGGATCCGATATCTGAGCCAGGCAGGTTCACCATCCTCCAGGACATTGTCGGTGAGTGACCAGGTTGTAGCAAGATTCTTCAAAGTCCACAAGTGATGTGATAATCCTGCGAGACTAAATGTGATTTGTAAAATAGCACCATTACAACACTCGCTGGATGAGCAGCACGGTGCTTACCAGTGCCATCTACTGTTAAACTGGTATTGCATCTGGTTCAATTTCATCAGCCCCCTGATATGCACTTCAGAGATACCTAAAGGCTCGGGCTGTACCAACTCAAATTTGTTTTGCTGGGACATCGGCAAGAGAAGCATGGCGTTCACCTTCTCACAAATATATTTCAGCCAAATAATAATAATAATAATAATAATCCTTGCATTTCATATAGCGCCTTACTACATCTCAAGCGCTTCACAGAACGGACTGCAAAGTGAATCGACCGTGTATTTTGTGGGCCAAGCGCGGCAGCCAATCGCGCCCAGCAGCCGCCCACAAAAAGAACGGAAACTGAATTCGAAATAGAAAATCTTCTGTGGTGTGAGCGAGCGATTGGGATCGGGATCGGGATTGGAGCTGGGGTTTTCCAAGTGGATCAGAATCTGGGTTTGGCTAAGACAATAATGTTTCACAGTTAAACTTATTTTGCTGACTGTGTGGAATATCCCGGGCAGGGGGTTGGACATTCCTCTGAGCTCTCAACAACTTCCTGATATGACATCGTTGGTTTCGTTTTGACTCACTTTTCGGGGTTAGAAGTTAAGGCTTGAGGGCTGTTGAGAAGTTTTCCGAAAGAAAAACAAGTCAGGGTGTCGCACGGGACAGAATAAACCCAAAAGTTTGGTAGGGATGGGCTCCAGGACGACGCTGTGGACAGTAATGGTGAGTGAGTTGCTTTGTAAGTTGGTGGAAATTGTGAGTTATAGCGTTAAGTGTCTGTTTTATTAACTGAAAGCTGCAGGAGCTCTGGTGGGGTGGGGAGGGGCTCTGTGCCGACCAGAGTCTGAACACAAAAAGGCATTTAATAATATATATATATATATCTCTGAAATGTGGGAAACTCCAGCTTTATCTGTCTGTCTGATCTGTTCAGAGACTGTTCTGCAGAGGGGCCACTTGGCTGTTTCTATAGTGGGTTATTGTGACAGCTGTTGATTTCTTCAGTCTGTTTTCTAACCAAAATGAACACTTGACATGGGATGGATTTCATAGCTGGGAGTACAACAGTAACTTTTAGTTACATCGAGTCTGGGAGCACTGTGGAGTTTCACACCGACACGCCACAAAGTGGATGAACACCACAAGAATTTGCCATTACCAATATCTTGTGGGTTTCAATTCCATTACAGTATTTTACTGAAATGAAACTTGACGAGCTCTGTTTTGAGTTGGAATCATGTCATCCCCGGGTTTTCTTCTGAATGAAATGTTTGACTTTTGTGATCCATTTATTTAACAACCAGAAGTAGGTGATGTTAACCGAACGCATTCCAGTATATTAAGCGACGTTGCACCTTCAGAAGGATCCATTTTGGAAGGCTCTGTTTGAGGCATTAACTAGCAATCTCTTGTACTGTGTGTCAGCCTGACACGGTATTTTTCTGGTCAGCGGGGTGTCTTGACACCCATTACCATGCTTAAGAGTATCGAAACCAAACTGAGAGTTCCATGCATCCCACCTACACATTGAAATTCCCGTGTTGGCTCTGGTTGGTAATACTCTCACCTCTGAGTCGCATTGGGACTTGGAACCCATGTCCAAGCTAACATTTCAATGCAGCGCTTGGGATGTGTTGCTTTGTTGGAGGTGCCCTTCTTCAGATGAGACGCTAATCAAAGGTCCTGTTTGCCTGTTTGGGTGGATGTTAAAATTCCCATGACACAGTTTGAAAATAGAAGGGAGTTTTGCTGTGTTTCTCTGAGCTGCGTGATGCAACACCAGCTGCAATACTTCCTCATTTAGCACATTTCTTCAGACTTAGGACTATTTTTAAAAAATTAGCAAGTAAAATTAACAGACTCCCACAAATTGTGATCTTGTGTAAACAGAACTTTGTTTAATTATTCTAAACTAAGATAGAATTTTCCCTTTTAATGGTCATAATGACAGTTGCCAGAATGCAATGCTCAATTTTAATTCCTGTTTGTAATTTAGTTTCCATTTACAAAGCTTGATTCATTCTGTTATTTGACATATTACAGGAGGACCCTGCTATAACTTTGCAGGTTTTCTTATAAGGTGGGTTTCTTGCAGATCCACAGCAAGCTTCCCACACGCCAGCCAACGTCCTGCACGTTCAAAAATGTCTATCTACCAGGGCATCAGATCGCTACTAACATCACTTCCTGTGAGCTGCACCTGAAAGTTGGTCATTTTTTTAGCATGCTGAAAAATAGTCTGCTTTCTGAATACACGCTCAGTGATGTTACCCTTCGGAGCAGATGACTGGCAATTATATCCCAAAGTGGTTTAGGATTTTATGGACTCAAATACCAATGGGGTTCTACTGAGCACAAAGAAAGATATAGGTTTTTCTATCTAAAGTGATCTATGTAGGTTATTTTTTTTTTGCAGTTTGTAAACTTGAATACTTCTGTAAGTCAGTTGGGAATCTACTATGAATATTGAGTAGCACTGTTCCATACAAATTTCAAATCCTGATGGCTCTGATAAGCTCTTGGGTTTATCGAAATGCCTACTCTATAAATTGTACCCTCAAAACTTGCCATTATCTTTAGCGGTTAAAAAAAACTTTTCCTAATTTCTGTTTTTTCTTGCAGCTTCTAATAATTGTTTATCACTCGTTGATGGTAGACAGTACAGATTCACTGTCTACTAATGAAAGTGGTTGTGGAAAGGATGAATATAAGCATGAGGATTGGTGTTGCATAAAATGTGATTTAGGTGAGTTTTTATTCTAGGCAAGTAATATGCCCTAGTTTATTTAATAATAATCCTTGCATTTGATATAGCACCTTATCACGTCTTTGAGATGTCTCAAAGCGCTTCACAGAATATACTGTAAAGTGAATTATATTTTGTGGGCGAAACGCGGCAACAAATTGCGCACAGTAGTGTCCCACAAACAGTCGTGGATTGAAGTGACCAATTCATTATTTTTTTAAAAAAAACTTGTTGGTTTAATATGAATATGAATATATTGAGTGGTATTTAGTACAGACACTGTGTGTGGTTGAAATGCACACCTACCTAGACAGACTAGATGGAAGCAGAGCACAGAGAAAAGATCAAACAGGTATAGGTTCAGAGTTTTGCAGGCTGATTCTGTGACCTGATGCTTAGCGCTCTGAGACGCTACTCTGCATACACTTAAGTGTAAGTTGTTGTCGTTATTTTGGAAGCATGAGATCAATTGGGCCAAAGTTCCTTCTTCATTGTAGCTCTTGTGATTGTGTGACGGGGGGATAACCTTTGCATTTTTGATAACATGCTTTATCACGTCGAAAATGTTTCAAAACGCTTCACACTGTTTTTCTGTAATGTGTAGTGACTGCATATTTGGCAGATCAACAACATCCTATATTTCAATGTTTCACCTCTAATAATTGTGGCTCTTTTCATTTCTGTAATATTTACTTCTAAAAATATATCAAACCTTTCGATCGTTCAAACAATTTCAAAATAATCATGAAATGTATTCACCGAATCTTTCACTAGTATTAAACCAGATGTTGCATATCGAAGGTATTTTTTACCATTTTGTGAAACACTTGATACTTCTGTGCTTTAGGTACTCACTTGGTGCAAGACTGTGAGAAAGGTGGGGATACGAAATGTGATGGATGTAAATCTGGAGAATTCATGGACGAAAAGAATCACCTGACAGAATGCCGTAGATGTACCAATTGTGATAGTTCGGAGGGTAAATATACATAAAACTGATTGCTAGGAACTCTTCACTTGATGACTGCATCGTTCAACAAATTAATTTATGAAATGTGCCAATTATTTTTTTGAAGCAAAATCAAACAGATTTAGTATGTTGCTAATAGCATCAAGTGCCACCCTATACTGTGAGCTCCTTGCTTTGCTAGATACCCGGAGAGAAATATGGCAAATGTGTGAAAGTGACTTTTCAACAGTCTTTTTAACAGAATATTGTTCTATGCTTGTTTCTGGCAGGGAAAGAAATCACAACCAATTGTAGCAGAACTCATAATACGGAGTGCAAATGTAAAGAAAACAGCTACGAGTTAAATAAGCATTGCTTGAATTGTAAAAGGTAAGTGATAGCAATCAATGCTTATTTCTAGCTGTAGATCAAAAAGTACTTTATCCTTTTTATCTTAATAAGTGGAAAATACAACAAAATGAAGTAATAAAAATTAATCCTGGACATTTTTGCTTCAATATCATTCGACTCTCAGATGCCACAGAATCGTAGTGAGCAACTACAGTGGAAGCCGGTTAAGCCGGACACATCGGGAATGGCCATTTTGTCCGGCTTAATGGGTGTCTGTGTTTAGCCAAAATACCATTCCCGACCAGCAGAGGAGCTATGGCGCCACTGTATAATAATATGTAATAATAATGTTTCACTTGAAGCAATGTTAACTAACCAGTTACAGTTAAAATACTCTCACAGAATTCAGTAAGATATGTTTATCTTTGTCAAGCAATGTGGAAATATTAACTAACTTATCAAAACCTACGCTAAACAATCCCTGAAATTAGGGTTATGGCATTTGGTTGGGGCAGAATAAAAGGAATTTTACTGTGTACCAGCCAGGGAATGCTTTTTTGCGTGTGTGTAATAATACCCCAAATGATCCTCACAATTTCCTAGAAATATTTTTTTCACGTCTTGTTTTATTTTTCTCCTCAAGCTGTAATGATGAAACTGAAGAAATTGTACAAGAGTGTTCGGCAATGAATGACACGGTGTGCAGAATAAAAGGTGCTATCCATTTCTTTTAAAGCCTGTTTAGTCCATGTGGAATGCATGACCAAACAAGCATTATACAATATAATAGTTGTAGCTAACAGATTCTCAGATATTTTTTGCCTGAAAAAATATTACTTTGACTCTATTTTAATGCTGTATTTGTTAAAAATACAAACATAAATTATTTTGGATGAGTTCAGTGATATTTGCACACTGATTTTTATTTTAATATTTTCCAAAATTTAAACCGCTCCAAGTGATTAATACTATTAATTTGCTGTATTTGTAAGGACCTACCATGAGTCATTAGAATATGCTCAGTGACCTGGTATCATGGAGGCATCCTGGGAGCTTTGAGCTTTGTTCTGTTCATGTGCTTTTGATCATTCAGTTTTTAGATGGACTGTGTGTTACCTAACGATAAAGATCAGGAAGACCCACCTCATTCAATATTGATCTCTGCCAACTTTGTATAAAAGCTGCCTAATTTGGTTGTGATTACTCCCTATTTTTATTTATATTGCCATGAAAAACAAAGTAAATGTACAATCACACAATCACAAATGTATAGCAATTGTTTGTACTGAAAGATATCTTTGTTTTCATTTGTCCGTATAGCAAAAAACAACAGTTCAACTGGTATGGTAGCAGCGGTGGTGGTAGGAATCATCGTACTTGTAGGAGTAGGATTGGTGGTATATTGGTATAAAAAACGATGCAACAAAAGTAAGTCACAAACATAAAGTGCATGCTATAGAACTGTAAGATGAAATAAAATGCAAGCTACATCAAACAAAAGTCTCATTTAATATTGTCTAATACAGTGGCTTAAAACAAAATGCATTTGTTAATTTAGAACCACATTTTTATATGTGCTCTCTTTGTTTTTGAAACTATATTGCAATTTCTGTTCTTTTGTTATTATAAATATTTATGTAAAATTTTTACATAAAATTTTGTTATACTGTTTTGATAGATCATCGGCCTTTAGACTAAGTTATATTTAAATGTAAGAAAAGTAGCTTCTATTTCAAAGGAAATAATTCTACTATCCACTGATGTGGGCAGGCAAGCCCCAGTGCTGTGCAAAAGTTGTTTTTTAACTTAATGAAGGAAGTGGATAAGATTGGTTCCGCTCATTTTTTAAGCATTTTACGTTAACTTCATTACCACACACTTTCTTGTGAAGAAAAGATTAACACATTAGCAAGATCAATAGTTTGTTGCATGCAGTGTGTCTTTGCACCAATTTATTATGCCAGCAACCAACCCACACATTTATTTTCAATTGCTCTGTGCTGCATTCTGGTTGGATTCTGCCATGCATTCAAAGTGGCTCAAATATCCTTACAAATAGAAACTTAATTTCTTGCATAATCAACATATAGTGACTTAGTCTAAAGTCCAGAAACTGAAGTTAAGACGTCAGGAATTTGAAATCTGAAAAAGAATAAGGATAATACAAGTTTATGAACTTACAACGCATACTTATTTGCACAATCACTGATGGTTCTTTGTGTATTCAGGCACATGCAATCCTGTGTCTGGATTTAATCCATTAATATAACATTTCAGAGAGTCTAGATTTTTGTATTTTTTTTAAAATTCATTCTTAATTTTGAAGTTGTTTTCTTAAAAAAACTTACAGAAAATTGGCTTAAACATTTAGAATGTATGTAAGAATTTGCCAAATTCTGGATGCTCTAAGTTGCTACATAGACTTTGTCTAGACTCAGGTGGACTCGACTAGACTCAGGTCTCCCATTGGTGATACAGATTTCAAACTATTCACGAAAATCGCGTATTAGTTCCTCATTCCATCAGCCACATTGTATATAGTTAAATTCCCTGCTTTATCTGTTGTTGCTTAAAAATATATACTTTTGTTTCAGAATATAAGCCATCAAAACAAGAAGATAAAACGGTAAATAACTAGATATTTTCTTTTGACAATATAAATTGCAGATTAATACACAAATATTGATTTTATTTGCTGGAGTTGAATTCTGAAATTGTAATGATATTCATACACATTCCCTTCTATGCTTTAATAATTTGTGATTTTTATTAATGTTTATTTTACAAATTTAGGAATCAGTTTGTGTGTCATTTTAAGTTAGAACATCTTTAGTGTGACCACATTGAAATATTGCTGTGTAGTTATAAATGCCAACATTATTTTTCTATGTAAATACATTAATAATCCCTCCAAAAACCAAAAACAATAATATATTGGTCATTTTCAATCTACGACTGTTTGTGGGACATTGCTGTGCGCAATTGGCTGCCGCGTTCGCCCACAAATATACAGTCAATTCACTTTACAGTATGTTCTGTGAAGTGCTTTGGGACGTCCTCCCGATGTGAAAAGCGCTATATCAAATGCAAGGATTATTATTATTATTATTATTAACAACTGGTAATAGATTGTGCCCAGCAAAATCAATAACATATTGTAAGTTTATTCAAAATATTATTCACTCTGCACATTGGTCAGAATGATTGCTCCAGTAATCATTATAGTTTTGGTGATCTTTTTAACATTTCAGTTTTAACAATTCCAATGGCTACTTCTAATCGATGATAAAATCTGTTCACAACTGTTAATCTGCCACATCTGTTAAACTGTAACACAAGACACTTGATCAAAAAAGCATGAATTGTGTTTTTATCATTGTCCTTCATTGGGGCTATGGGCAATCCAAATCCTTTATCTTCTTGCAAGTACCCCAAACATGAGCTATCGTTACCTTTCTGGAGGAATGTTTGCTGCAAAAGTTAGCAGTTAAACCTTTTTTTGAGCTACTGCTCCGCTCAAATTTGAAACCTATGTATTATAAAGCTGGTCTTTGTGGAACTTGATCTTCACAGTAAAATACTCTTGGACAGTAATTTAATCTACAGCAGTGTAAATTGGGGTAAATTTACCAGAATAGTCTCTATCAAAGATGTGCGTTTTGTGCATTATTTTGAATTGTGCTAAGATGTTACAATGCTACTAAAGGTGGCAAGAACAGCAGGAACATTTTAATACTGGGCACCTTTCTATAAAATAATTACCTGGTAGAGTCTTTCAGAGCAGCGGTCTAACTTTAGTGTCTAGATAATCTTTTCAAAACACTCAAGTATTACTATCTGAACTGTTCCATTCTAGCCCTATACCTCACTCCAGATAGCTACTTTTTTTATTCTAAGAGTAATCATATTCTAATCATCTTCTCTTGATTTAATTTATTTCAGCTCCTGGCAAAAACAAAAACAAAGGAAGTACCAGGTACAGTATAATAATCTTAGTGTTATTATAGTATACAGTACAATACAAAATTACATTTGTATGGAGCCTTTCATGTCGAGAGGACGTCCCAAAGCGCTGGTTTATGGTTATACAGTTATTATTGATACATTTTTCACAATCCATGAATTTCTTAACGTATTATTTATATTCAGAGCGCAACTTAGTGTAGACTTGTAAACCTCTATGCAGGGCTCTCTTTCCGATGCTAGATCCTGCAGGTTGTAGGTCTTTGTCAAATTAGCTCAGCTCTAGCTCCAAATTTGTGCTTTTGTGCAGACAATCTTGCAGAGGTGCACATGCATTAACTGAGTACAACAATAACAAATTACATTTGTATAGTACCTTTCATGTTGGGAGGACGTCCCAAGGCACTGGACAGTCAAGGATTTGGACCTGAGCAGGGGTTGGGATCAGGAGGGGTGGAGGGCAGAAGGGTGACCGATGGTGTGGTCAAAGAGGAGGGTCTTGAGACATGTCTTGAAGGAGGCAAGGGAGGGAGCGAGGTGAAGGGACTGTGGGATGGAGTTCCAAAGGGTGGAAGTAGAGAAACTGAAGGCTCTTCTGCCGATGGTGGGTTGGGCCGTGCTGGGGACGTGGAGGGCCTGAACCTGCTGAATGAAGGGAGCGGGCAGTTGATATGGCGCTGGCTGGTCACAGAGGTTCAAAGGAGTAAGGCCGTGGAGGGCTTTGAAGGCAAGGACAAGGTTTTTGAACTCTATCCTCTGGGGTGTGTGAAGCAAGTGAAGCCAGGCGAGGCCGGGGGTAACAGGGTCACGGAGCCTGGTGCGGGAGAGGACACAAACTGTAGAGTTGTGAATGATCTGCAGCTTGTGGAGACAAGAGGCTGACAAGCAAGGAGTTACCGTAGTCAATTTGAGAATACAGATTGAGCAATATTCTCCCCCTTACCAAATCCTTTTTAAACTGAGCTATCTTCCAAACTATTGCTACTACTAATAATAATCCTTGCATTTGATATAGCGCCTTATCACATCTTCGAGATGCTTCAAAGTGCTTCAAAGGCTGAATTTAAGAATTTTTCACAATTCTGCATCACCTTAAATTTTAAGACAAAATGGTCTTACACGCTAGGACTGTAAATGTAATTTGGGGGCTTCTGAATTTTTGGTAAAGCTAAATATACAGTATTTTCCTTACCAAGTGACTTTATTTCCTTTAACAGACATTGATCTCACAAGCGAGCAATTGATGGATATGGGCGAATTGATCGAACCCAAACAATACCATAAAATTGGACTAAAACTGGGACTAACGGAAGCTACATTGCAACAGATTGCAACTGATTATCAAAATAATAGTAAAGAACAGGGTTACAGAATACTCCTTCAATGGATGGAGATGCACGGTAAGAGAAGGGCATTCCCTGATCTGATTGACACACTCAGAGGAGCAGAACTCAAAAATATAGCTGAAAATATTATTCAGAAAATTGTTGGAAATCGTACAGAAGTGCCAGAAGGCTGTGTCGGCAACCCAGAAGATTGTGAAAATGGTGGCATGACATGCTCCACTACTGGGCACAGATGATTTTATATAATATTCAACCTGTTTTTCAAAGTCGTACACAGATAATGATTTGTTTATAACTCAGTATATAAAATATACAGTCCATTCACGTTACATTATATTATGTGAAGCCCTTTGAGACGTCTCGAAGACGTGATAAGGCGCTATATCAAATGCAAGTATTATTATTATATATAACTCTTGCAAGTTCTGAGAAAAAGGTTGAGGTCTGCTTTGTGTAATTTTGTTTACTGTAGATTATGTGGCCTGATCTTACACGGTTGCAGCCCAAGTGAATCAAAATTATAGAGATTAGAAAGGAGGCGGTTTACTAGCAAAGAATGTGATTAAGAAAATATTTTCCCTCAGATGGGCAATGAAACATTTTCAGTGTTGTAATAATAGATTACCTCAAAGACTGCCTTAGAGTGAGGCAAAATTAGTGATCTAAGATCAATATCTTAGATCATATTATTCAAGATAATGGTAAATAAAAGAGTCTAAAATCTTTTTGTTACATCTTTAGTATAGAAACATTGTAACTGTACAGTAACTTCAGATCTACACTTTAATTCTAGCTTCACAATATTTAAGTGAAATAACTGCAGTGCACATATGTTTGTTTGTTTAGATACAACAAGTGCACTATGTGCTGTTTTTAAAGTTTTTATAGAAATAAGTATAAGGAATTGTCAGTCCTTACCACTGGACACATGGCAACTGATTGGACTTTTTCCATTGCATGTTTGACAGATTTAAGGTATTCCTTTTGAAACCTCAATAATGTTAAAGTAATAAACTGGTAATGTAGAATAAAACGATTATTTACATTTTGATTAAAAAAACAAATGGATCACTGGCACCACAAATACAGTCTTCCCATTCAAATGGTGAAATACAGAGCTCTATAGAATTATCCTCCTGGATTTATTAAGTAAACAAATCCAAGTTAATTGGCTTCAATTCTTCAATGAATAGTATTTTTTATTTAAATTGCAGCACAATGCTATATTGTTCCTCTTGGGTATATTCTGTTGGGAAAGTATTTTTTTCAAAATTAAAAATGTTCACTTTGTTTTAGATCCGGTAAGAATATGTATGGATTATGTAGTAACAGATAGGAAAGCAAAACTTAATGTAAAACAATGTTTAACTGGAAGCTCTACTCTTGTAGGTTGTGTAAATTTTGTTCAATCGTATATGTTGAGTTTTATAAATAAAAATAAGACCCACATATCTGTGGTTAATCTGTGACACTGGTTCACAGATGAACAAATTGATATAGGGAACAACACAATGAAGCCACACTGTTAAGGTTTGAAAGGATTTTGTTTGATCAGCCGGGTGTCTGACACATGAGGAAACCCATCGAAGATTATCCAAAGCAGATTCAGAGTTACATGTATCCAGTCCCTTCTGGCTTCCCAAAAGGACTCAGGATTTTCAAGTAACAATATGAGGGCTTTGAGTCATGTGGGTGCTGTCATCTTAAACACGAGGGCAGAACCTGGGTGGTTATTGGCTATCGTAGCTGTCCTCATTAGGGATTGTGCAATGATTTACCAATCCTGGTTGTCACTCACCCGGATGCTGGGCTCTGGGGTGGTGAGCATCGGGAGACAATCACGGAGGCGTTTTTGGGAACCATTCACAAGATTACTTTGAAAATTACCCATTTAGCCAGGTGGATCCCACCATTGGAAATTCCAGAGATATTTGTTGGAATGGAATGCACACTCTCGTCCTGGAGGGATTTACCCTGTTTCCCTAATTCCAACAACTGGTCTACCCTTCCAAGTCATGCCGATGAATTAGGATTTGTTTTAAACGTTTGAATTTTTTTAAAAAAAATTGCTTTAAAGGGCTGGAAAAGCTATTCAAAACAAAATGTCCCGAAGTGTTTTAAAACAAATCAATATTGTGAATTTTTTGCCAGCTACTTGAACAGGTATTACTTTTTATTCCAACATTCCTAAACTGTGGCATTCATTAACTTATTTCATTTCTTAATACAAAGTTACATGTTTAGTTATTAGAAAATTGCATGTTTCAAGACTACATGGGTTTTGTGGAAAATAAAATCAACATTTTTATACCGCTTGTTTTGCTGCATGTTACTTCTGATATTCAATATAAAAAAAACACATTTCAAAAAACTAACCAATTTAATTGATTCAATGATAACAGGTGCTATTTTGCTTCCAGTGCCTTGGGATGTGAAAGGCGCTTTACAAATGTAATTTGTTTTTATTATTTTGTCTACTCACTCCTTCACCTCATTCAACGTTTGGCTCAAGACCTACCTCTCTGACCATGCTTTTGGTCCTCCTTACCTTCCCACTCAGCTCAGCAACCACCCCCAGCTCGGGTGCCCAGTCAGTACTTTTAAGCACTTTGAGTTATCTTCCTATCATGAAAGGCAACATATAAATGTGAATTTCCATTGTATCTTGGGACAGACTAAGAGGAGCAACATTCTGTGATTCCTAATGTTATATAGAGCACATGTAAATATAACCACCATCTCTGTTCAATTCTTATTTTTTTAAAATATGATACTATAAAACATCTCAATGGTCAGTCTCACAATTTTCTTTAGCTACAGAATGAATAAGCTAATTAACTTTGCTCTCAAATTTCATGTTTTAAGAAATAATGTCTCTAAACATTTTGCATGGCCTCAAGTCAAGTTTCAGTTTACTATTTGTTCCTTGTTGTCATCTTTCTTGAGAAACTCAGCTGTATTAGAAACTCAAATTTTGGACACCATTATTTAGGGCAATTTGTGGTTCAGGCTGTATTTTCACAGTCTTTTATTTTTTCATTTGAATCGATGGTCACCAAAGTCACCGATGACAGCAATGTAATATTCGTAATAAAAACAAAAGACGCTGGGAACACTCAGCAGGTCAGGCAGCATCTATGGACAGAGGAAAGTGAGTTAACATTTCAGGTCAATGAACCTTCGTCAGAACTGAGGGATGTTGGAAGGGAGCGGTTTATAAGCACTTGCAGAGAATGGGTGGGGGAAAGAAAGGCAAAGGAAAACTTTTGGTGGAGGACGCCTAAGTTTTTCCTTTGTCATATAGCGCCTTATCACGTCATTGAGACTTCTCAAAGCGTTTCACAGGATACACTGAAAAGTGGTTTCACTGTATATTTTGTGGGAGAAACACGGTAGCCAGTTTGTGGACAGACAGACATGGAGTGAGTGACCAATTTATTTGGGGGGGATTTGTTGGCCAGGATACCAGGAGAAACTCCTTTCTCTTTTCTAATAGTGCCATGGAATCTTTAAAGTCCAGTTGAACAGGCTCAGGTTGCCCAGTCAGTACTGTTAAGCACTTTGGGAGTTTGAACTAAGACTACTGATTCCAGATTCCATTGTGGAGCTTGAACCCACATCCTTCTGATTCAGAGGGGAGAGTAGTACCAACATGCCCTGCTGACATTCCTGTAGGATACGATATGCTTTGAGTTTTCCATGAAAGCCGCAAAGCATGTACAAAGTTTAATATGTTGTTTGAGTCATAAGATTGTACATGATTGTGCAATAAACCACAAAAGTGGATAATAGCCCGAGGTGAGAGAGAAAGCGACAGCCAGATACAATGCAGTGATACAACTAGTCGTACACAAAATATAGTTTTACTATATTTCCCCTTATGGGGCGATGGAACTTATCTTATTCAGAATTATGTATTTTTGGTCAGCCGGGTGTCTTACATGCGGAACCCATTACCAACCTTAAAACTATCCAAACCAGACTGAAAGCTCCACATAGGTATATGTAAACACCCTAGACATGAAAATCTCAGTACGTAGTGCACTGCAAAAAGGGCAGAATAAATTGGGTGTGACAGCAAGACTGGAATCTGAGAACCACACTTAAAGTTAATATTGATGGTGGGGTATTAGTCCTCCAGGAAGCTCTTGGTAACTCATTCCACGCAGGAGCAGCAGATGGCAGTCCAAATCCAAGGATTACATTGGCCATGTCACTTTAGTTCAAAAACCCTGATGCAGGTTTAGCACAGTTGTACATGTTTTATCCCAGTGAAGTTAATTTGCCATTTGAACTAACTTTCTATTTTGGATGGGGGCAGTACCAGTAAATATATTAGAGAAGCACATAAGACCTGAGCTAGCTGAGTGAAGCAGGTAGCAGAGTGTGGTGTGAGCAGGTTGGAGAGGCAGGGAGGTGGTAGGGCATATCGTGATTTGTAAGCGAGTGTGAAGATCTTGAAATTGATAGAAAGCGAATGGAAAACAAAAAAGCAACATGCAGACAGTAGGTGGCACTATTGACTTGAACTGAACTGCAAGAAATTGCATTTTTATAAAGATTTTTCCTTTCAGGTTTAAGTGCATTAGCTTTAAACCCACTTGACACTATAGTTATTACATTTGGTTTGGGAAATACGAGGAAAATAACAGTAAATAAGCACCATATAGCTCAAAATGCATATTCCAAATTCTCTCTTACATTAAAGTTTGTAGTGCTGCATTATAATGCTTGCCTCTGATGTAGCGGCGATCTTCTTCCAGATACTGACCAGCTTAGCTCGTTAGAATGAGGTAGGGATTCTTCCCACTTGGCTCCTGTTATCCCTGCAAGCAAAAGCTCTAATGTGCTCCGGCTGGACATGTAGTGGAAAGCTTGTCAGACAATGATTTCAAATCTAAGTTATACAGTTTTAACTGCTAAAAAAACACCTTAAACCTTCTTAGCAATTCATATTCTGGGCATAGATGCTTACTGTAGAGGATTGTTAATGGTTTGTTAAGTAGGACTTGAATCATTCGATTCAGGTGGATGAGGGAGTAGTCTGTGGCGGAGGATGGCATGAGCAACTGTGTCGAACACGGCAGAGAGGTCCCGGAAAATGAGGAGGCAGAGGAAGCCCTGGTCACAGAGAGAGAAGGTGTAATTTATTATTTTGACGAACGCAGTCTCTGTACTGTGCGTAGGGCGAAAACTGGATGGGAGGGGTTCGAGTAGGGAGTGGATAGAGAGGTGTGAGTGAAGTTGATTTACGACAACGTGTTCCAGAACTTTGGCTAGGAAGGACAGGTTTGAGATGGGTCTAAAGTTTGTGAGGTTGGAGAGA